GGGTACTCACATGAGGGTCTGTGCGGGTAGAAGCCAGGGCATGCAGATCCAAGAGGGCCTGGTTCAGGGTCTTCTCCAAGGCCAAGGCTGCTTCCATGGCGTCCTGAGTTTTACCCCACTCATCTTGGGAAGGCTTCTACATAGGAGACAGGGAAGGCTCAGAACGGGCCACATAACCCACAGAGAGCTAAAAACTATTCCATTCTCCCACAGGGCCTGCTCTGAGAGACGTCTATCACCTGCAGACCCCTACATATACACGGCCCGGGAGACCTGGCTGCGGACTCAGAACTGGCTGTGCTTACACTTCCAGCCACAATGAAGAACCCACTGGGGTCTGAAAGCCTCCCAGAAGCCCTCGAGGTGTTAAACCGCGAACGCAAAGGGGCCGGGGGCGCAGGGACTGCTGGGAAATGTAGTCCACAGGCCTACACCCTATTTACCGCCACATCCTGGAGAAGAATGCGGCCACCGCGCTGGTTTTGCAGCTTTAAGAGACGCTCAGAGCCCTCACGCTTCTCCTCCGACAACTCTCGGAAGAAGTGGCCCACGCCCTGCAGAGCCACATCGTCCCGGTCGAAATAGAAGCCCTGCGGGAAGAGATGGCAGAAAGAAGGGTTAGCGGGAGGCGAGGCCAGAAGCGCAGACTCCGCCCTCTGGCTACTCAGCAGGACAAAGAAGGCCAGCGCGTGCACAGAGGGCCAGATGTGCGCAGTTGTTGGGCATCGGGCCTGGGGGCATTCTGGGGACTCTTACCAGAGAGAGGTAGGTGTAGGAGGCCCGCAGATGCAGGTTGGCCAGGCGGTTGACGGCCGCCTCCACCTCGGTAGAATAATTCTGGCGAATTTGGGAGCTCATGGTTGTTCGGCAGTGAAGAATTAAGGTGGAAAAAACGGTGCCGGCTGGTCTCGGAGGCTGAGGAAAGCTGAGGTGGTTTCGAAGATAGTCACTAAAAAAAGGAGATGGAAGGGAGTTGGAAAAGAGGGGCGTCCCTAGGTCTGTTCCGTCCAAACCCTGTTGAAGCAAGAGACAGATCCCAGGACCGCCGAGAGCACTGTGAGAAGGACCGCTAGGCGGCTTCTTTTATAGCTTTGGTCCCCCGCAGGGGTGGAGCGATCGAGGAGAGCAATTGACCAATCAATGTTGGCGGTAGGTGGGGCCTGAGCCCGGAGTGACCAATCCAGAGCATATACATGTCCCACACCTCCAACCCAGAGTAGGGGAAGTCACGCGCCCGTAACTCGAGGTTGTTGTGAAATGGGGAATTAGTTGGGGGTGAGGGAGGGGCTGGGTGCAAGAATCTGCTGCTTTTGGGGGGTTGGGTCTCTGGTAGGTGGCAGATTAATGGGGACTCTGGGAGCCCTTTAAAGTGATGACCCTTTCCTGCGAACCACACGATGGAGGTTCGATTCCCAGTAAGGGCACATGCCTGGGTTGCAGGCCAGTTCCCTGCAGGCCAGTTCCCAGCAGGGGACGCACTAGAGGCAACCATACATCCATGTTTCTCTCCCTCTCTTCTTCCCTACCCCTCTAAAGATAAATAAATAAAAATTAAAAAATAAATAAATAAATAAAATCTTAAAAAAAAAAAAGCTAGAAAAAAAAAAATGATGACCCTTTTGCCCTGGGGTGTCTCAGTAAAGTTTTTTGGATTCTGGAGTTGTCTCTGAGAGCATGGACTTTTCTGGAGTCCCGGAATTCTTCCTCAGAGGTGCGGAGACCTTCAGATTATTGGGTTTGGGGGGATGCGCTGAGGGGTCCCCGAGTCATTGGATAGTCTCCAGGGCAGTGAGATCGTCCTTCAGTAGCATTGGGGATCTGGAGGATGGGTTGGTGGGGAGCCCTGGGGTTTGCTACAAGGTGGAGCTTTTTTTTTTGAAGCCTTCATGTTCACAATGGAATTTCCATTTTTCTGGAAAGTTTCTTAGGGCAGGTCTTTAGGTCCTTGAGGTGGTCTGCAAGATTAAAAGGGCAGTTGTTCTGGATCCTGGGGGCTCACCTCTAGGAGTTGGGGAGAAGGGTCTTTTTCGAAGCCTAGAAGGGGCTTTATTCAGAGGTAAAGGGGCTTGGAGAGCCCTTGAGAAACAGCCTGGGACCCTTTGGAATACCTTGGGGCTATTTCAGGGGTCCATTGTTTTTCTAAATGCCGAGACTGGGAGGCAGGAAATGGTATGTATAGAAGCTTTGGGGTGTCTCCAAGGCTGCTTTTCTGGGAGGCTGTTTTGAAGGGTTGGCCAGAGACGCTGGGAATTCTCTTTGGCTCCAAAGCAGCCTCTCTGAACTTGTTCCTCCCTTGTCTGCCACATGCTCCTTCTTTTCTAATTTTTTTAAAAAACTGATTTGAGAGACAGGGAGAGAAAGAGAAACAGAAATATCGATCTGTTTGTAGACAAAAAGGCGCCACACACACCACCTGATCAGCTTGGGAGGCCTGCATGGCGGCCTTATGCACACAAAGACCTAAAGTGACCACATAGGAGGGTCTGAAACTAACACTTATTAACTAAAAGCAGGTCATGGTGGGCAATAGCTGCCCTAGACTAGAATCTTCCCTGACAAAAGCCACTTTTTTTTTTTTTACTTTAATAGTCCCTGTGTATTGACATTTTGAATCTGTGATAACAGACTTTGGGAATGGCAGGTAACTTTCCTGTCTCCAAACCCCTGGGGCACAGCCAGGACACCGGGACACCAGACTGTAGTCCCCTCATTCATTCTGTTACTTGACGACTGTGGACTATCTTGTATCCATAAAAGAAGCATGTGTCATCCTGACTGGTGTGGCTCAGTTGGTTGGGCTTGTTCCCCGAAAAGTGGAAGGTCACGGGTTCCATTCCCCGTCAGGCACATGCCTGGGTTGGAGGTTCTGTGCCCAGTTGGGGCTCATGTGAGAGGCAACCGGTAGATGTTTCTCTCCCTCTCGTCCCTTCTAAGATAAATACTTTTTTTTTTAAAATTATGTGTGTATCATTTCACCTTTTATCCAACCTCAAAGGTTTCACGACCTCGTTTTCTCCCACTGCCCCAATCTGTCGCCAGTGGGGTTCATGTAACCCCATTATGCATCCACTTTTGATTGTAACCTATAAAATAAGGTACAAAACTGCCATTTTTTGGAGCATTTGCTCAATCCATTGCGATCTTACCCCCTGGCCATTGTCTTAAGTTTGGCTCAAATATTCTCACAAATATTCTCTCTACAAGTTTGATTGTTTCTTACATGGACAAGATGTTCCACAAATGTATTGCACTTATGTGTGGATTCTTGTATGTGCCTGACGGGATTGAACCGGCAACCTTGGTGTACCCAGACACAGCCCTAACCAACTGAGCTAAGTGGCCAGGGCATGTGTCCCTTCTGAGTCGCAATAAGAAGCCCTGGATGCTTGGGGCTGTGTGTCCTCGATCGAGGTACATTTTAAAACTGTACAAGGCCCAGAAGGGTCTAGGAGGCAGGGCTGGCTCACACCAGAACCCCGTTGTGGGGTGGGGGCGGACAGAACTTGACCCTAATGGAGGCTACCAGCAGGTTGAGGGGTCCGGGGAGAGGTCAGGGCCTGCCTTGCAATTGGAGGTAGACCGGGCAGCTGGCGGGGTGGCCCCTGAACAGGGAAGTGCCGAGCAGGGCTGTTGTGTGGGGTCCTCCCGGAGTATCTGGGCCAGAAGCCAGAGGAGCAGCAGTGCTGAGTCACGCTGAACTCAGCTCGGGAAGGGGCTCCCGCCCCCGCTCCTCGCTGACCTCATCTCCTGGTGGGCGGGCTGCTGTGTGGCTGAGACCCCGGGAACTAGGGCTGGCTGTCTCTCACCCAAGTCTGGCCCCCCTGGCCCCGTAGGGCGGCCTGGAGTTGGAGCGAGCTTTGTCTCTAAGCCTTACAGTCTTTTTAGTTCCCTTGGGCGGTTGTCTGTGGCCCTAGAGTCCCCTCTCTGCAGGCGGTGACTCAGCTCCCGGCTATCTTATCTGGCTGACATCTCTCTCACTCTCGCTCTCTGGGGACTGTCCATGGGGGAGGGGCCGTGGCCCCAGGCACACTGCCGCGGAGGGGACTGGGTTATACATTGACCAGCTCTGTGGAAGACCTTTAGCCTCAGGCTGGCCCCACCTAGGGAAGAACGTGCTCCCAGGTAGAGCAGGAAGGGGTGAGACAAAGCTGACCTGCAGCACGGAGATCCTGGAGCTCGGTGGAGGGCAAGACCCAGAGAGACTGGTAGAGGGACAGAAAGGAATAGAGACCGAGAATGAAGGGGACAGACACCTAGAAAGAGACGAGAGAACTAGCAAAAAGGGCCAATGATGTCCTTCAAGCCTCCTTCCGAATCCCTTTCCTGTGTAAACCTGCCAGGCCTCACACGGGCTTCCCTGGGCCCGCTCCTCGCCAGGAATGCCCCCACCGGTGGTGACTGGGCCGGACTCCAGAACTCCTCCTCTTCCTCCTCCTCCAGCTGTGCTTCCCGCCCCACAGCCTGTCAGTCTCCAGTGGTGGCCCCTCAACATAGGTTTGGACGCGGTCTCCTGCCTTGGACTCTCTGGTCCTACCCTCCTCTCAACCTTCCTACTTCCAGTAGCTTCCTAAGCCTCTCCAGGTCCAGGCAGCTCCTCTCCTCTCGCCTCCCCCCTGCTCCATCTCAGTCCTTTCCTTATGGTGGAGGTTGCCAGGCCCAGGGGGCCCGCACTGTCCCCTGCGGCCTTGTTCCCTCCCTCACCACCCTTCAGCCCTGGCTCCTCTTCCTGGTCAACACCCTAAGTGGTGACACATGTGATGCCAAGTCACCCTGGTTCCCGTCAGGACTGCAGGATCCTGGAAGGCAGGGCTGGAACCTAACCCGTCACTAACCCGCCGAAGGAATGGGGAACCCTCCGAACCCACGTGTCAGCAAGTGCGGCCTGATCTCCCGTGACAGCCAGTGGAGGGGGCCCAGTGACTCAAGACGCGGGGAGTGTGGCCCGAAAGAGGTTTATTGCCCCCCTCCCCGAAACCACTCCTTCCCACCCCACCCCCAATAATTACAAAAGTAAGAAAAAGACCCCTGACCCACAATCCCCACCCCTCCTGGGAAAAAAATGCCATAATTTATGCAGAAAAGACACAGTCCAAGGCAGCTGCCGGCCTCAGCCCATGTTCTTCCAGATGGTGAGCGAGGCGGTGAGCACTCCCGCCACAAAGATGGTCACTGTCTGCCACGTGGGTGTCCCGAAGTAGGAGAGGAGGGCGTCCTGGGGACGGGGACATCAGTCACTTCAGAGATTCGGCCGTGGGCCGATACATGAGGGGGGGACAAGGGGAGGTCGGAGGGCATGAGCAGGGACAAGGGCCTAAGACTAACAGGTACTAAAGAGCTGGGGTCAAAGGCTTATCAAAGAGCTTGAGGGATCCCAGAGGAAGTGGAGGCATCAGGGAGGGCACAAGGTATGAGTCAGGTCAAGGGTCACCGGGAGGTCAGAGGTCACAAAAAGGTCAGCAGGTTCCAGCTCAATCAAGGGTTGATAAGACACAAGGAAAACACATTACAAACCACATGCGATGGTCTGAAAATGGGTACGGGGGTGGGAGCACCACTGTGGAGGGGCCCAAGAAGGGCCCAAGAGTCCCAGAGAAGTGTGTCAAGAAGGCCCAAGAGTCCCAGAGAGGTGTGGAGGGGGGTGAGTTAGGGGCCTCACCCAACCACCCTGGTCCTGGATCCAGCCCAGCAGCCGCTCTCGAAGGAAGTCCAGGGTCCAGCCCATGATGGTCTTGATCAGCTCGGGCACTTTGGTGCACAGGGCCTGCGGAGGGAGGGCTGGGCCTTGGGAACTGGCCTTGTCAACTCCCTGCCTCCCTTCTCCCATCCCTGCAGTCTCTTTTCCACTCCCAGTCAGAGTGAGCTTCATATATTGTGAACTCGACTGTGCCACTGTCAACCGCCCTGCTCCCAAACCTTCCATGGCTCCCCAGTACCCTTGGGGATAAAGCAAAAGGCATAGATAACAGACAGCTCGGCCGTGTGAAGGCTGACTTAACAGCAACCAAATCTATGACTTTTCTGTGCTGCACTCACCTGCTCTCCTATCTTTATCCCCATCAAACCCACCTCCTGCCCCAGGCCCTTTGCACATGCTGATTCTGCTGCCTAAAAGGGTCTCCACCAAATGAACCTTCACTCAAGCTTCAAAGCTCAGGTCTAAGGTCACCTCCCCAGGGAAGGCTCTTCTGACCCTCAGGCCAGGTAAGACTCCACATCCTCCAGAGCCGCCGCCTGCTCTTCATCCTCCCGAACAACCCTTTCCCACCCCATCTGGCTGCTTCTCCCCGTCTGCGCTCCCCAGCTCATCCGCAGCCCCGCCATCACTGCAACTGCTGTCCCCATCACTTCCAGCACTCAACCCCCATTAGCTCAGTCTTTCAGAGACATCAAGAAATCTATCTCGCCACCTTCAGTGCTACCGCCTGAGTCCAGGTGAGTAGCTGTTTACAGAGACTATGACAGGTGCCCCTCACCAGCTTCCCGGGTTTGGCCCTTGTGCTCCATTATCCCTTTTTCTACCCGAGATGACCAGAACACTTTGCTGGAATTCCCTCCCCCAACAGTTTGTCATGACAATCTCCAGAGACAACGTAAGACAATTTCAAAATGAACAACCATCCACCGGCAACCTCAATTCTGCAGTGAGCATTTGACCACACTTGCTAGAATATTTTTCTTTTTTTCCAGAATAGTATTTTAAATTTCTAAATCAGGTCACCTCATTCTCCTGTTTAAAAACAGCCAATGGCCCTGCTGCACTCAGAGTAAAGCTGAAGTCCTTCCATGGCCCCATAAGACCCCTCCCAATCTGCCCTCATCTCTGCCCAATTCTCCCTCTGATCTCACCACATGGGCCTCTTCATTGCCCTGGGCCCACCAGGCCTTGGTCTCACCTCAGGGCCTTTGCACTTGCTGTGCCCACTACCAGATACCTCCCCGGGACCCTCATACATCACTGCATCTTTCTTGTCACTCTGCCTTTGGCTTCAATGCCACCTCCTCTTAGAAGACTTTCCTGATCGCTGTGCACAATCGCATCACCCTAGCTTCCTGCTCCCAGCACTCGCCCTTCAAGACGGGCTCTTGGAGAGTGGACAACTAGCCTGCTTTTTGCATTGCTGTGTCCTGGGTGCGGAGTACAGGCCTGGCACATAGTAGGCCCAACACATGTCTGCTGAATGAATAAATGAATGAAGGAGCAGACAGCCGGCTCTGATAGCTCTCTGTTTCTGGTCCTTCTGGGCTGCCACCAGGGTTGACCTCACCACTCCCAGGCCCCCTGCAGGTTCAAGGGGAACCCCCCCCCCACCCCGCCCCAGCCGGGCCCAGCACCCTGCACCTGCGCACCTTGAGCACCAGTTTGCTGGCAAAGTAGAAGAGGGCGACAACCCGGCCCCAGTTGAAGTTGCCGTCGGAAAACATTTCAGATGCCACTCGGAAAAACACCTCGCGGGGAGAGTCTGTGTCCACGGCCGCGATCATCCTGCAGGGAAGGGGGAGCTGGTGCTGGGGAGGGATCAGGCAGAGCGTGGAAACACTGGCATCCACCCCATACCAAAGATAAGAAAACTGAGGCCCAAGACACACCGAAATATAAAGCAACAGGCTGACGTGGAGGGAAGGGGCAAGACGGACACTCGGGAAAGTGGGAGAAATGACTTCCTGAAGGAGGGTTTTAAAATCCTGGGGGAGGGCTAGGAGTTGAAGAGTTGTTGAGTTGAGCCCTGGCTGGTGTAGCTCAGTGGATTGAGCGCGGGCCTGCGAACCAGACAATCGCGGTTCGATTCCCAGTCAGGGCACATGCCAGGGTTGCAGGCAGGTTCCCTGCAGGCCAGTTCCCAGCAGGGGACGCAAGAAAGGCAACCATACATTGATGTTTCTCTCCCTCTCTCCTTCCCTTCCCCTCTAAAGATAAATAAATAAAATCTTTAAAAAAGCACCACTTTAAAAAAAAAAAAGAGTTGTTGAGTTGAGTGGCGGGGCCCTGGACCCCTGGGTCTGAGGGAAATGGGGGCTGTGGGCCTGGACTCAGTGCTCCTAAGGAAAGAGGGGGTTGGGAGCTGGGACTCCTGGGCCCCGGGGGTTGCCACACCTCTGGAGTTCCACATTACTGTCCAGCTCATCTCCGATGCGCTTGAGACAATCGCTCAGTTTCTTGGTGGATGCATCCGGGGGCACCCTGGGCTCCAGGGCCAGCTCGGATGTGTCTCCCCCAATTCTCCCTGCTCGATCCCGGATGAAACTAGAGTGGGAATGGAGGGGAGGGTGGTACAGAATCAGAAACGGGGGGGGGGGGGGGGGGGGCGTCACTCCTCAAATCTGCTCTGCAATAATCAGACCTCACACTCACCCCTGAAGTAAAAGGGCCCCTGTCTTCATGATCTGCTCAGAGCTGGTGGGCCCTAGAGGAGAGAGGAGGGAAGACGTGCCTGGACTCATGGGCCCTAGGGGAACTGGAGTGAGTCAGGATCCCTGACAGAGGACAAAGCTAGGGGGCCCTCGATTACTGGGTCCCTAGTAGACGAAGTCACTGGGAGCCCAGACAACTTGAGTCTCTGATGGAGAAAGGGGCAGGGAGCGTAGGCCTGTATCCTATAGTCTTCCGGGAGAGGAAGCTCAAGGAACACTTAAAGCATCCTGGCCTGAGGGGACAGAGGGGAGACGCGCCCCTCCCACCAGGAAGTGGTGCCAGCGACAAGCCCAGGCTTGCCCCGGGGTTTGAATTCTGGGGTCTCCAGCTGCTCGGGGGTCCCAGAGCTCCAGCCAGGAAGGGATCGGGGTGCGGAGGACAGAGAACCGGGGAACCTCGGGGAAGGAGGGAGCTCGAAGCTGCCTGGCAGCACCCGATCCGGGAGTTTCTGACCCGGAGTGCTCGGAGAACGCACGCCCCGAGACCGGCAGGCGAGATCGTGGGGCCGGCCGGCGAGGGGATCGCCCCCCCTCCCGCCCGTCTACCTCCTGCCTCACCCCCGTCTCTGGGTTGCTCCCCGGACCCGTCCATCACCGCCGCTCCCGCCGCAGCTCTCGCCGGGTCTGCCCAGGCGGCTGCAGCACGCCCCCAGTCACGTGAGCGTCCCGCTGAGCGTGCGTCCACTCACGTGACTGCCCCGCAAAATGGCCGCCGTGGGCCTCTGCCCCGCAGAGCCATAGGCTCAGGTCGCGGCACCTGTCTCGCGCAGCACCTACTTCGACCGTCCGTCGTCGCCTGACTGTCCAATCAGCACTGCCCTTTAGGAGCCCCTCGCGGCGCCATTCCGCTGGCCACCCATTCTGTTGCAGCTATAGCTTTCATTCATTCGTTTGTTCGTTCACTGCAATCTTTTCAGAAGTTTCCGGGGTACTTGAACTCTCCCAGGGTAGAAGAAACATCGAGTAGACAGCAGACAGGAACAGCGGAGGGCAAAAACCGCATTCGCTGAAGCAGGACGTCTCTTAATGGCTATGAATGACTATGGGTGTTTGTGTGAAAAATAAAAGGGAGTATCTTCGAAAGTGGCAAAACTAATCTCTAGTGATACATCGGGAGGGTATGGACAGGGTGGGGCCCTGAGAGGCTCCTCGGGTGCCCGAAATGTGCGAGATCTTGATCTGGGTGGTGATTGCCTGCCTCTGCATACATGTGAAAATTCACTGGTCCTGGAGGGGTAGCTCAGTTGGTTAGAGCGTGGTTCCCCCATAGCCAAGGTTGCAGTTTGATCTCTGGTCAGGGAACACACGAGAAGCAAACAATGAATGCATACATAAATAAGTGTAACAACAAATCTATGTCTCTCTAAAAATCAACAAAATGTATTAAATAAATATAAAAATTCATTCAACTGTACACATAAGAACAATAAAGTGCATCTAACTATGCATTTTAATATATGGAATTATTATATCTCCCTTTAAAAAGAAATAATAAGAAAAAAGAACTTGGCCCAGCTTGTGTAGCTCAGTGGATTGAGTGCCAGCCTGCAAAACAAAGGGTCGTGGGTTCAATTCCCAGTCAGGGCACATGCCTGGGTTGCGTGCTGGCCAGGCCAGGTCACCAGTAGGGGGCGTGCCAGAGGAACCACACATTGATGTTTCTCTCCCTCTCTTTCTCCCTTCCTTCCTCTGTCTAAAACAAATGAATAAAATCTTAAAGAAAAGAAAAAAGAACTTGCATTAGAAAAGTAGACTGGAGTCAGATGATGAAGGGTTTGGGCATATACGAGGAGGGATCTATGTCCCAAGGGTGGCTGAGAGCCATGGCAATTGAAGATTGTAGGAGCTCCAGCCCATCAGCCTAGCATCAGCGGGAACACAGTCTGATGCAGTCAAGTTTATCGGACTCATTGCGACGATGGAGTCTGCACAAGAGAAACTATAGAGCATCTTGACAAACAAGGAGAAGGTAGGCTTGTTACAGAATGTGGAGGAAGCGTGGAATTTAGGTAACAAGGAGATGAGAGGCTCAGGGCAAAGCAGGGTCGACATCAGATGTGGACTGTGAAAAAGAACCGGCGTCCTCTGCCCTTGAAAACTAGAAGATGAGTGCAGACAATAAGTGTCAGGTCGTCCAGAAACCCTTTGAGACCATGCTCCTGGGTCGGAAATCGAGGCTGCTCCTCTGTATCAGATGGCCGAGACAGGCGAGATTTGCATGTTTTCTGTTTACTGATGGAATTTCCAGCACTGCATGGTTTTACAGGACAAAGTTTCTCTGTGAATAAGAAAATGTATACTTCCCAGACTGGTGTGGGAGAGAGGGAGAGAAACATCACTGTATGGTTGCCTCTCATGCACCCCCTACTGGGGACCTGGCACACAACCCAGGCATGTGCCCTGACTGGGAACTGAACCAGCAACCCTTTGCTTTGGAGTCCCAAACTCAATCCATTGAGCCACACCAGCCAGGGCTGCTTACTATTAACTTCAAAGATGGCTTTATGTATGGCTGTTATTTGAACCCAAAGAATTAGCCTTCCCTCTACCTCAGTAACTGAATTGGGAAAGAGGTTTTTTTGTTTTGGAGAGAGTTTTTAATGCAGCCACAGACTTTAAAAAAAAAGATTTTATTTATCTTTAGAGGGGAAGGGAAGGAGAGAGGGAGAGAAATATCAATGTATGGTTATGTCTCGTGTGTCCCCTGCTGGGAACTGGCCTGCAACCCAGACATGTGCCCTAACTGGGAATCGAACCATGATCCTTTGGGTCACAGGTCTGTGCTCAATCCACCGAGCTACACCAGCCAGGGCTACAGACTTTTAAAGAGTACAGCTGGTGAGTAGAGGGGAGAAGACTTTTCAGATAACTCTGCAGTCAAAGTTGTCTACAATAATAAAGACGCTGTGTTGAAACCACAAGGCCCACTTCCACCATGGACCCCGCTGATTGTCACCCCTAGGACTCATGCCCCTCCCATACTGAATAGGACTGACCAGCCAACTAACAGGGTATTGTGGGAATGACAGAGTGTAAGTCCAAGAATGGGTCACTAAAAGTCACTGAGGCCCTGGCTGATTGAGCACCAGCCTGCGAACCCGAACGTGGCTGGTTCAACTCCTGGTCAGGGAACGTGCCTGGGTTATCATCCAGGTCCCCAGTAGGGGGCAAATGAGAGGCAACTGACCTGTCTCCTCACACATTACTGTTTCACTCTCTTTTTCCCTACCTTCCACCTTTCAAACTCTTTAAAAAAGAAGTCACTGCAACCCTTCCTTGCTCTCTAGTAAACCACCTGCTATGAGGGGACACAGCTGCCATGTCGTGAGGACACTGAATGCCATTGTCCTCTGGAGAAACACCTGCAAGTCCTCCAGCCACGTGAGTGACCCTCTTTGGAAGCACATGCTCCAGCCCCAGTCAAGCCTTCAGATGACAGCTGACCGCACCAACATCCTGACGGCAACCAAGAGTTTTTTTAAAAAGATTTTATTTATTTTTAGACAGAGGAGAAGGGAGGGAGAAAGGGAGAGATACACTGATGTGGGAGAGAGACATCAATGGGCCGCCTCTAGCACCGCCCCCACCTGGGCACCTGGCCCACAACCCAGGCGCGTGCCCTGACTGGGAAGCGAACCAGTGAGCTTTCAATGCGCAGGCCAACGTGCCATCCACTGAGCCACACCAGCCAGGGCACTCCCGAGAGATCTTAAGTCCAAACCACTCAGCTAAGCCACTTGTGGATTTCTGACTCTCAGAAATTGTGTGAGATAATAAGCATTTATTGTTGCTTTAAGCTACCAAGTCTGCTACTCAGCAATGGAAAATCAATACACCTAGGGTAAGTACAGCCGAGGGACAGAGGAGGAAGTCAAAGCCCGGTGAGGGAGATGGACCTGCGGAAGTTGCACAGTGCGTAGGATTTGGGGGGTTCCAGTTCCCCTTAGTCACCTTAAAAATGAATTGACCTGTCATATTGTAAAAGTTATACCAGTGTTCCCGGTCAGCTACTGCCATGTAAACAATCAGCCCAAAGGTTAGTGGTTTACTTTTTATTTTTTGGTATTTTTAAAACTTACTGATTTTAATCCTGGCTGATGTAGCTCAGTGGATGGAGCGCGGGCCTGCGAACTAAGGGATCATGGTTCTATTCCCAGTCAGGGCACGAGCCTGGGTTGCAGGCCAGTGCCCAGCAGGGGGCGCATGAGAGGCCACCATACATTGAGATTTCTCTCCCTCTCTTCCCCTCTAAAAATAAATGAATAAAATCTTAAAAAAAAAAACAACCCAACAACTTACTGATTTTAGAGAGAGGGAGAAAGGGGAAGAGAGAGAGAAACATCGATTTGTTGTTCCACTTACTTATGCACTCATTGGCTGATTCTCCTAGGTGTCCTGCCCAGGGATCAAACCTGCAACCTTGGCCTGTCATGACAATGCTCTACCCCACTGAGCTAACGGGCCTGGCGAACTTTCACGGCTTAAAACAACCATCATTTTATTATTTTTCATAGGCCTATGGGTCATGACTTTGGGAAAGGCCTACAGGGATTCGATCAGAATATGACTGAACATCTGCTTTCCTGGAGCCTCACGGCTTTCCACGCAACTTCGTGTGGCTTAGGCTGGGCTTCCTCATAGCGTGGTGGTTGCTGGGAAGCTGATCCCTGGCCTGATGGCTGAAGGTTTCGAGTAGAAGATTTCAGCTCACAAGGAATGGCACGGCATCTCCTGACCTCTGAGAAGTCACGCGGCATCACTTCCACCGTGTTCCACTGGCCACCAGGGAGCCGTGGGCCCACTTCATTTCAAGGGAAGGGGAAGTGAGTGGAGACAGGAGACATCTCTGGAAAATGCAAGGTGGCTCCGCTGCTTCAGCAAAAGCTAACAAAACTGGTTTGAACAACACAGAAGTTCATTTCCCTCTCCTGTTCCAGTGCAAGAATATGCAACCCCATCTGATATTTACCGTTAATGCTCCAGTGTCAGGAACCAAAATGGTTAATTTTACGTGCCAACTTGGCTGGGCCACAGGGTGCCCAGATATTTGGTCTAACCTTATTCTGGGTGTTTCTGGATCAGATGAACATTTACAGCTAAGTAAAGCAGATTGCAGGCCCTAATGTGGGTGGACGTTGTCCAATCAGTTGAAGGTGTGAATAAAACAGAAAAGTTGACCCTACTGTGACCCCACTCTGAATGAGAAAGAATTCTTTCTGCCTGGCAGCTTTGGAACTAGGACATCAGCTTCCTTCCTTGGGACTCAATCTGAAATATCGGCTCTTTCTGCGTCTTGAGTTGCGGGCCTTGAGGCGAGAAGTATACCATCAGCTTTCCCAGTCTTGGACTGGAACTAAACATCAGCTCTCCTGGGTCTCCAGTTTGCTGGAGATTCAGCCTGCAGATCTTGGGGCACAACTATCTTCATAGTGATGTCTTTCTTCTATCCTTCTGGCCTTTGGCTCCACCATGTACAACATATGGCTTCCTTCTCACAGTGTAAGATGTCACACCAGTGCTCAACATTACACCCCACTCCAGGGGCAGGAAGTGAGAGATTGGAAAAGAATCTACCCTTCTCGCCTTTTAAGGCCATAACTCAGATGCTGCACATACCTCATTGGCCAGAAGCTAGTCACATGGCAAGAAACTAGCTGCAAGGGAGCCAGGGAAATGTAGTTTTCAGCTGTACAGCCATGTGTCCAGAGTAGCCTCCCTCTCATTGGTGAATGATTTTTAAGGGGACATCTAGCCATCTCTGCCTCTCCATTAAAGATTGAAACCAAGCAAGCAGAGGGCTGACACCAATGTGGTGGTAGGCGAATGATGCGTTAGGGGACTGAGAATAGCAAGCAACAGTTCTGACTGGTGTAGCTCACTAGATTGAGCGTCCAATCACTGGTTCAATTCCCAGTCAGGGCACATGCCTGGGTTGCAGGCCAAGTCCCCAGTAGAGGGTGCATGAGAAGCAACCACACACTGATATTTCTCTCCATATCTTTCTACCTCTCTTCCCCTCATTAAAAATAAATTTTAAAAATCTTAAAAAAAAAAAAAAAGAATAGCAAGCAAATAGAAAATTCTTTTGATGATGTCTAGTCTCTCCATGTTCTCTAATTTCTACCAAATTGCTTATGGGCTCAAAGTGTGAGTTATTAGTGTCATAAACCAAATATATTCATCTTCCTTTCTGGAGCCTGGTAGAATTATACTTACTGGACGCTCTGTGGTTCATTGAGGTAACATGCCTAGTTTTGACCAAGAAATTGTAAGAGGTGACATATGTCATCTCCATGTCAGATCATTTAAGTGTTGCTATAAGAACTTCCAGGGTGTTCTTTCCTTGGCCACAGTGACTAGCAGGATTCCAGATTATAATGGTTCTGTCAGCCTGGGTGCCGGTAATATACCACTCAGAATCCTCAGCCAATACACAATGTGAATGAGAAAACAAAAAACAAAAAACCTCGTTATGCTGAGATTTGGGGGGTGTTTCTCACTGCAGCATAACCTAACCTGTACTCGCTTCTGTTGAAAGCAGGAAAAGTTAGATCTTGCCTGGAGCACAGAGTTCACCCTCACTGGCTGGCTAAGCACCTACTTATAGCCCCTACACTGCTGGTAATTTGGGTGGGAATGCCCTCACCCCTACTACACAGAGGGACATATGACCCATGCTTTGCTAACAAGGCTATTGAAATACTTGTGAAGGCAAATCTCTTCCCTGTTGAAATAACTCTCTGTACCTTAACGGAGGCCTGGGGTTTCCGGAGGCCAATACGGCAGAGGCCTGACCTTTGATCGAAGGACCAACAGCTAATGTGTGTTGAGAACCTGCTGTGTGGTATGGGCTGTTCACGTACCACCCCACTTAATTCTCACTGAGCGGGGTTAGTACCATCTCTCCCCTTAACTGATGAGGAGAGCATGGAAGAGAGGCCGGGGTAAGTGCAGTTAGCGACACCTCCCACCCACCCACTATTTCCTGACCAAGGCCACGCAGGCCAACCGGGCACCTGCCGACAGGTGTTTGCTCCAAGAGCTTGTGGGAAACGTGGTCCTGACCCCGCCTTCCTCCCCCTCCCCACCTCCTTCCACCCAGTTTGTTCTCTAGTGACCCCTGAGATGGTGTGCTTTCTCCAGCTCCCAGCAAACCATCACTGCCGATATCTCTGTGGAAGCCAGGTCTTTATTTATTTAGGGCTTACATCAGTGTTTGTCTTGGGGGAAGGTGACTCCAATGGCCTTTCTCACCTCCTCAAGGATGTCAGCCAGGAGCTCACTTTCTGCCAGAGGAATCACAGGACTTTCCTTCAGGCCTAGGGAAAGAGGACAGTTAGAGAAGCCTTCCTTGTCACATGCCCAAAGAACAAAAGAACTACAATTCCCAGAATCCCATGAGGCACAGTAACAATAGATCAGGCAAAGGGTATCCCAGGGGGTCCTGGGAGATGTAGTTCTAAACAGCTGCTTGAGCGCTGAGGGGTAGGGAAGGTCCTGTCTCCCTTACCAGGCTTGCCCTGCCACCCCTGACCCTGTCCACCCCAGTGGCCTCCTTACCCTTCCGCAGGCACTCCCGGACATGCCTGGCCTCATAAGTCATGCCCGCTCCATTTGTGAAGTGGAACTCCTTGTCCTGGGTGGAGGGCAGCGAGAACTCCTTATGCTCCCCCTTTACCACCAGTTCTGTTGGACACCAGCAGGGGTCGAGGATCTGGAGGGAGAAACGAGGTGGTCACCAGTCACCACCAGGGCTCTGGGGGCCCTGCCCGATGGTGCTCAGGAGCCTCCCTCTCTCACGCAGTGGTTAAGGGCTGGCCGCCCCCATCCTTAGTGGGGGTTCCTTCGTTGCTGGGGGTCCATTCATTGGCAGCACAGTAACACGTTAGAAGCCCTTCGGTTTGTGTCCCCAGGGGCAAGTCCCTCTCTAACCGAATGCATAGCGAAGACGGCTTGCCTATCTTCCCATCTCTCCTTGGAGACAATCCAGCATCCTCAGCTTCTTATCCACTAGGAGACCTTTTCCTTTTTTTTTTTTTTTTTTTTAGCTCCAGAGCCCAGAAAAGCCTAAACTATTCCCATACCCAAGTGTAGGCCAACATGGAAAATCCAGAGATGCAGCCTGGGCAAATTCTTCTGCTAAGAATAGGATTTCTTTCCAATCACCTGGCCCAAGGAAGCTCGCTGAAGCAGCTCTGTGGTAATGCCCAGCGCCTCTCCTGGAAGCAATTCCAAAGGTCACCAGTGCCCTCTGACCTGGTGTCTCCTCGGGCTTAATGACTATTTTTTTTTTAAGATTTATTTTTTAGACAGAAGGAAAGGGTGGTAGAGAAATATCAATGTGTGGTTGCCTCTCGTGTGCCCCCAACTTGGAATCGAACTGGCAAGGCTTTGGTTCGCAGGCTGCTGCTCAATCCACTGAGCCACACCAACCAGGCCAGACCTAAGGCTTTTTGAAAGACCCCTAGGTTCACCCTCAGGAAGGAGCCTGGAGGTCCGAACCCCACTCCACGGCCTGGTGGGTGAGGATGGACTCCTTAACAACGGTGTAGGAAAAGACCGGTTCAGCCCGGTCCAGCCCATGTGCAGGCCCAGCAGCGGCATCTGGCTCACATCCGATGCTGAGGGCCACGGTTCCCCACACCTGGGCCCATCCCAGCTGGGCTGAGGGCGCCTCACCTGGGCCGTGCCCTTGGTGCCGCTCACATAGGCCATATTGCAGAGCTCGGTAGTGATGCTGCAGGTGAAGCTGCCATGGACGCCTCCTGGGTACTGCAGTAGCACGGTGACGGTATCATCCACACCTGGGGAGAGGCGGACGGGGACAGGCCTGGTCACAGATCCTGCCTCTAACGGAACGCTCAATCCACTGCGCCACACCAGCCAGGCCTAAATATATTTTATTGATTACGCTAATACAGCTGTCCCATTTTTTCTCCCCTTTTTTCCTTTTCACCCAGTAACCCCATCCCTCCAGCAGCCCCTCCCTGCTTGATTCATTTCCATGGGTTGCACATATAATTTGTTTTGTGTTTTAGTAATGAAAAGATTCCAAAATTGATTATGGTGATAAATGCATAACCAAGGCCATGGATTTATACACTTGAACTGAATTAATTGTATGAGACGTGAATTATTTCAGTAAGCTATTACTGAAATACACAAACAAATAGAGTTAAAAAATTAAAGAGCCTTTGTTTCTCTGAGCTTTCGTTTCTCCCTTTATAAATAATCATTGTATAGGTGCGTGGGAATCCATTTCCTCCTCTCTAAAATGAGGCTAATAATGGAACTTGCTTCAGAGGGTTGCTGTGTTACATTAAATGATGTGGAATTCATAAAGTACTAAGGAGTCTGTTTAGATCACAGTAAGAGAGAGGTGAGCATTAATTAAAAATGAAATGCAGCCCCAGCTACTGTGGCTCAGTGGATTGATTGCCGGCCTGTGAACCAAAGAGTCCCCAGTTCGATTCCCAGTCAGGGCACGTGCCTGGGTTGCAAGCCGATTCCCCAGTGGGGGGCACATGAGAGGCAACCACACATTGATGTTTATCTCCCTCTCCCTCCTTCCCCTCTCTCTAAAAATATATAAATAAAATATTTTTTAAAATGAGATATAGTAAAGTCCTAGCCTTGTTCTGGGACGCACTGGGCAGGCAGTGGCTGGAAGAACCTACTGGCCCAGTTCTCTCTGGTTTCAGGTAAGGCCAGCCTCTCTTTCTGGATTTGCTACGTGAGCCCAAACAAGTGACTTCCCCTCTCTGCACCTCAGTGCGCCCATCTGTACAACGGGGACAGCGGTAATATATCTGCCTCAGGGAGAACATTCCTGCAACGACCGTATTGTGGAGGAGACTCTCAATAAACGGGATCTCTTGTTAGAGCTACTATTTTGCCTAGAACTTGGCCAGACAGTACACTGAAACAGCTTTCTAAAGGATGACCTTCACCCCAAGCCTTCTTTTCCTGGTTATTGGTTGCCTTCTGTGGTTCTATTCACAAAGAAGCAAATCTCACTTCCCAATGAGTGTCCCTCCACAATGTGCTGTTGTAGCTCCTTCCATCCAGAGGTGGAGTCTATCTGGCCACCTCCCAAATCGGAGCTGGCTTTGGGCCATGGAACAGTTAACAAACACATTGGGGCCTGCCTGCTTTTTGCTGCACCCAGAATGCTGTGCGCGAGATGTGAATGAGCCCGAGATGCCGTGTGGGGGAGAACCAGGCTCCCCAGACAACAGCCAATACCCGGAAGACACAAGCGAGGCCACCCTAGACCCCCCAGCTCCAGTGGCACAGGTAGCTGCTGGCTGCTGCCTGAGTGAGACCAGCAGATGAACCACCCAGCTGAGCCCAGCCCGAACCGCCAGCCCACAGGACAAGTGAAGAAATGATGGTGACCTGAGGTCACTAAGTTCTGGGGTAGCTGCTGTGTGGCAAAGGTGACTGAGACTTCAGAAAATAATAAATTTTTATATTTATTAACTGCTGAATTTGCCTCAACAGTTACTTCATTAGTTTCTTTGAAAAAACTTATTTATTTACTTATTGGCTTATTTGAAAGAGGAATGCAGAGACAGAGAGAGAGAAACATCAGTTTGTTGTTCCACTTATTGATGCATTTACTGGTTAATTCTTTTCTTTTTTTTTTAAAGATTTTATTTATTTATTTTTAGAGAGGAAGGGAAGGAGAGAAGAGAAATATCAATGTGTGGTTGCCTCTCATGAGTCCCCTGCTGGGACCTGGGCTGCAACCCAGGCATGTGCCCTGACTGGGAGTCAATCCCTCAACCTTGGCGTATTGGGACAACACTTTAACCAGCTGAGCTTCCTGGCCAGGGCTCCTTTCTTTCTCTCTCTTTCTCCTTTCTTTTTAAAATTTTATTTATTTATCTTTAGAGAGAGGGGACCAGTGACAAAAAGAGGGAGAGAAACATCGATCTCCCACATGTCCCCTACTGGGGACCTGGCCTAAAACCCAGACACGTGCCCTGACTGGGAATCGAACTGACAGCCCTTTGGTTCTCAGATCGGCACTCAATCCACTGAGCCACACGAGCCAGGGCAGGGCTCATTCATTTCTTATGACAACCTACTACTGACATTTTACCAGTAAGTAACTAATTAAGACTCAGAGAGGTTGAGTTCCTTGGCTAAGGTCACACAGAGCTGCCCATACTTGGATCCCAACTCCTGAGAGAATTTTCCGCAGCTGTGTAGCTGAATTTTCAGGGGCGAGGAGACGTATTCCCTGGTCAGCGTGCCCAGTAAGAGAGGATCACTGTAAGCGCCATCACGTAGCCCCAGCGGAACACACCTGTTTCATGGCGCCTTCCCACGGCCGAAATCTTCTCCGGCTTCTGCCCACCAAAGACCATGGAGATGAACTGGATGCAGTAGATACCAAGGTCCAGCAGGCCACCGCCAGCCTGGGCCCAGTCTACAGCCCGCGGTACGTGGGTGAGGTCCTTCCCAAACTCTGCCCGAGCCACGCGAAGGTCGCCCAGAGTTCCCTGGGCCACAGCAGCCCTCAGAGCCTCTACGGCAGGAAAGAAGCGGGTCCAGATGGCCTGTGGGAAGGAAAGGAGTCTGGAGTCAACCAACCAGTTCTTTCTTCTGGGGCTCAGTTTTGAGGGGGTACTCACTGTTCGCCAGGCTCCAAACAAGGCCCTCCCCCTTCCTCTCCACAGCCATGTCCCCAGCTCTGGCCATGTCCTCTCTCATCTGCATCATTGCCCCAGCCTCCTAACATTAGGGGCTGAATTCGGTCCCCACCAAATTCATGTTGAAGTCCCAACTCCCCAGTATCGCCCAATATGAGTGTATCTGGTGATGGCGTTTAACAGAGGTAATGATACAGAGTTCATTAGGTTAAAATGAGGTCCTTAGGGCAGGCCTTCACCCAATAGGACTAAATGTCCTTATATGAAGAGATGAGAAGCCCTTGCTGGTGTGGCTCAGTGGACTGAGAGCCAGACTGTGAACCCTGAGGTTGCCGGTTTGATTCCCAGTCAGGGCATGTGTCGGGCTGCAGGCCAGGTGCCCAGTAGGGGGCGTATGGGAGAGAGATGAGGACACCCGCCTGCAGATGCAAGACTGTGTGAAGCCAGAGGCAGCAGACGGCTGACCTACAAGCCAAGGAGAGAGGCCTCAGGACACCAACCCGGCTGACACCTTGATCTCAAACTTCTAGCTTCTAGAAATGTGAGGGGAAAAAATCTCTGCTGTATAAGGCCCCAGTCTGTGGTGGTATTTGTTGTGGCAGCCCCAGCAAACTCACTGTCAGCCTCTTCCCTCCAGTCTAGCCCCACATGAGCCCAGAGGGATCTGTGCTTTTCCTAGAGCTGATCCCCTTCTTTTTTTCTTAAAAGGTTTTATTTATTTATTTTTAGAGAGAGGGGAAAGGAAGTAGAAAGAGAGGGAGAGAAACATCAATGTGTGGTTGCCTCTCATGCGCCCCCTACTGGGCACCTGGCTCACAAACCAGGCATGGGCCCTGACTGGGAATCGGACTGGCGACCCCTTGGTTTGGGGGGGAGGGGGGGACTGGGGCTAGGAACTGGGGCCTAGAATCCTCTGGCTCTAAAGCCTTGACCTATCCAAGATCAAGTTCCCAGTAAATACATGAAATATGCCATTCTTTTTTTAAAATTTATTTATTTTTAGAGAGAGGGGAAGGGAGGGAGAAAGAGAGGGAGAGAAACATCAGTGTGTGGTTGCCTCTCACATGCCCCCCACTGGGGGCCTGGCCCACAACCCAGGCATGTGCCCTGACTAGGAATTGAACCGGCGACTCTCTGGGTCATAGCACTCAATCCACTGAGCCACAGCAGCCAGGGCTGCCCATTCCTATTTTAAGTGTTAATTCTGTTTCTCTGCTCTGGCCTATTTACCCGTGCGACTTATTTTTCCTCTAAGGCTCAGGTCTGTCCCTACCAGCAGGAAACCTGCTTGCCTGTCCCGTAGACTGGGCCGGGGCCTCTGTGCTCTGTCGCCTGCCCAGCACTATGTCCGCGAAAGTTCCCACACTTGAGCCTTGGGATTGCCCATTTCCGTGAACTCCTGGCAAACCGAGCCCGTGTCTTCCACATTACGAGTCCCCAGTACCTAGGAATGGACGTGGCACACATGAAGTGCCAATAAAAAATGAGGAGGCAATAAACTCATGGAATATTGGCACTGACAGGCTCCGTGAGTACCAGAAGGCACTGGGTAACCATAATAAATGCTGACAATCTACTTTACACCACACTAAACTTTACAGTCTGGGGGCCTCAGCAATATTACGCATATGATGGCTGGATAAGAAGTGGGCAAGTAAGAAGCAGCTAGTGCTACTGTCAGAAACTACATATCCTGGCCAGTGTGGCTCAGTGGATTGAGCACTGGACAGCAAAGCAAAGAGTCCAAGGTTTGATTCCCAAGTCAGGGCGCATGCTCGGATTGCAGGCCAGGTCCCCAGTAGGGGGCGAGTGAGAGGCAGCCACACGTTGTTTTTCTCCCTCCCTCTCTAAAAACAAATGAATAAAATGCTTAAAAAAGATCACTATTAAAAAAAAGATGTTTAGTTAGCCCTGGCTGGTGTAGCTCAGTGGACTGAGTGTGGGCTTGCGAACCAAACAATCATGGTTCAATTCCTAGTCAGGCCACGTGCCTGGGTTTCAGGCCAGTTCCCAGCAGGGGACGCAGGAGAGGCAACCACACATTGATGTTTCTCTCCCTCTCTCCTTCCCTTCCCCTCTAAAGATAAATAAATAAAATCTTTAAAAATATATTAAAAATAATACAAAAATAAATTACTGGCAGTCTCTAAGGCCCCTATAGATATCCTCCTCTGATGAGAGCAAAAACAAAGGATGCTTGAGTTTGAGGGCCGGTAGGGTGTTCCTTGGTCCTTCTGACCTCTATTCCTGGAGATTCACACAGACTGAGCCCATTGCCACGTTCCCTGCTGGCATCTTTTCCTGAGACCCTGACGAAGGACCCTTCCGGCGGCCATGTTTGCTGACGCCCCCCCGCCCAATGTCCCCCCCACCCCCAGGAATGTTGTCCCAGGGAAATCCCACGGCACAGCTCAACTACCTCATGGCACATACCCCTACCCCCTGTTCATTTTGTGCTCATCTTAATTCTTGGCAAACCCTTCCCTTGGGTCCCTCCAAAAATGCCCACTGGCGAAGCATGGCCCGTAATGGCAAGAAGTGCTCTGCAGGATGTTCCAAGGGCCCCTCCACTCTTACCTCCATAAGGAAGAGGCCTCGGGATCGGGCCTCAGCAACCATTTGGCGCACTTCCGCCGCGTTCACGCCCATGGGCTTCTCGCACAGGACGGCCTTGCCCGCTGCCAGGCATAACAACACCGCGGCCTTGTGCTGGGGGTGCTGGGTGCCAATGTAGGCCACCTCTAGGGTGGGAGGAAGGAAGTCAAGAGATCAGAAGCCCCGCTCTGTTGGGAACTGCCCTGCCTGGTTTCAGGAGCTGTACCTGTGCCCCCCACCCCCACCCCATGGCTAAGGCTAGGTGAGCGACCTTTGGACCATAAGCCACTAAGGAGACGAAGCTTATCTGCCTGGCAGGAGCGCTGCTTCTGCTCCTTTTTCCATAACTGGCCCCCAGTGCTTGATCAGTTAGCCAATGATGGGTAAGATTCCCCAAGGGGGGAACAAACTAACACAGGCATGATCACATGGAGGCCCCAGGGAAGGACTTGCAGGGGGCTATGGAGAAAGGGGGTGATGGACCCTCGCCCCTCAGCTTTGACGAAGCTTGATCTCCTGAGTCCACGAGAAGTCTCCAAAAATTCCTTGGCTATTTGCCTTCTCTGCCTGACTTAAGCCTGAAACAATGACAGAGGGTGGTGCAGCCCTGTGTTGGGAATGGCGGGCTCCCCAGGTGATCAGGTCTGAGAAAGGATATGTAAAATCCTGTGAAGCCTGCTTTGCTAAGAATGCTCTTAGTTAAATGATAAAAGGCCCAGGCAGAAAATGAGTTTGTTTTCCCAAAGTTCTATAGCCTTTTAGCGGATAGACCCTGACTTAGAAGATGCCCTAATAGTTCTTTGTATGCTATCTTCTGTTTGATTCTTACTGCCTGACAATGATTAATAAGTTGTACCTGTATTCCTGCACAAAAATTCCAATAAAAGCCTGTCTGGGCAAGGGTCAGCGCACTCTCCACTTTAGAGAGTGGCCAGGCTGCTCTGGGGCGCTCCCCGCTTGAGGGAGTAACCGTGCTGTCCCTTTTCCTCCATAGAACTCAATGGTCCGTGTGAATTTGTCTCAAGTTTCATGCATGACGCTGCGGGCACGGAGAGCTGGTGCCCGCGTCACTGCTCCCACCAGACCCCCAAGCCTCACCTCCAGCATCTGAGGATCCCAGCGTCCCCCCAGCCTGGGGCCCCCATGGGGAAGGAGCTAACCACTCACTACCATCACTCTCTTCTTGGATCATTTCTAGCCCTCTGAAATCACATCAAACCGTTTAAGCCTCACAACATCAAGAGGGAGATACTATTATTTTGCCCATTTAAAAAATAAGGAGCCCTGGCCTTGACTGGTGTGGCTCAGGGGTTGGGTGTCATCCTGCAAACTGAAAGTCGCTGGTTTGAAGCCCAGTCAGGGCACATGCCTGGGTAGTGGACCAGGTCCCCTTTCAGGCCCCTGCGAGAGGTGGCTGATCAATGTTTAACTTGCATGTCGATGTTTCTCTCCCTCCCTTTCTCCCTCCTTTCCCCTCCTTCTACAAATAAATGAGTAAAACCTTAAAAAATAATAATAATAAAGGATCCCTGGCCAATCTGACTCAGTTGGTAGGAGTGTTAATCCCATAGGGAAATCGAGAAAGGCAACCAGACAAGAAAAATACCAATTCAGGCAGCCCGATTCAGAGCCAGGGTTCAAGGTGCAGCTACACTATCTAGCTGTCCCCTCTGTCCTGCCTTGCCGACCGGGCCACTCTGGAACACAAAGCCATGGCCACATGACAGAGTTAAAGTCTGAATCAATTCTCTTTAAGAAAGTCAAGCCCTGGCTGGTGTAGCTCAGTGGATTGCGGGTGTAGCGCGGGCCTGCGAACCAGACAATCGCGGTTCGATTCCCAGTCAGGGCACATGCCTGGGTTGCACACCAGTTCCTTGCAGGCCAGTTCCCAGCAGGGGATGCACGAAAGGCAACCATACATTGATGCTTCTCTCCCTCTCTCCTTCCCTTCCACTCTAAAGAAAGTCAAGACCCGCTCTGGCCGTCAAACCACAAGGTCACCAGTTCAATTAGCAGCCAAGTGGTGTTTCTCTCCTTCTTTTAAAATTTTTTAGAGAGGGGAAAGGGAGAACGAGAGGGAGAGAAAGAAACATTGACATGCGAAAGACACATCGATGGGTTGCTTCTCGCACACCCCCACCTGGGGACCTGGCCAGAAACCCAGGCATGTGCCCTGACTGGGAATTGAACCCGCAACCCTTTGCTTCACAGTCTGGTGCACAATCCACCGAGCCATACCAGCAGGGCCCCTCTCTCTATTCCTTTAGCTCTGCCTCCCTGGCGGAGTTACAAGCCCAAGTGGACTGGCCCATCCGGTGGAGCCTTGCATCTCCTAAGAAACGCCTGGAGGGAGCATCTCCGTGGCCCCTCTGGCACTTGTCACTCACCCACGTTCGGGTCCTTGGCCAGCTCCTCGTAGGACCCATAGGCTTTGGGGATGTCGTGTTTCCGTGCAAACTCCTTTGCCCTGCTCAGGTCGCGGGCCGCTACTGCCACCACCTGAAGCAAGAGTGAAAGACTTGTGGATGGAAGGAGGTGATAGAGAAGGCCCCGGTGTAAGCAGAAATTACATACCCCAAGGCAGGGGAGGAGGAATTTGGTCCCAGGGGAGGCGGTGACTGGAGGCTGGACACCTGGGTCCTGGGAAAGAGAGATCTGGGCAAGGGATTATTAAATCCCCTGCTGGCTAAATTTCTTCTCTTCACAGTCCCAAACCTCACGGAACTCGCGGTCACAAGAAAGAAGTGGAGAAAGGAATGAGGAGGGAATTATAAGTTGTTTCATGCCTTGGAGACTAGGAAGTCCGGAACCCTAACTCCCTCCACCTTCAGACCCAGGAGTCCCTCCAGCTCTTCCCGCCAGGACTCCGGAGAGAGCGCGGACCTGGTGCTCGGAGCGGGGCAGCGTCCGCAGCACGGTCGTGAAGTCGCTGGAGATAAGGCCGGCGGACACGATACCCCAGCGCACTGCCATTGCGGGAACCCTGAGTCCGGGACACCCTGCCGCTGTCTCTCCGCGGGAGTTAATTAAAGCCCAGACGCCTCGCCCACCGCGGGGCGGAGCCCATTTCCCCGCCCCCTTTGCCCATACGCCGCTTCTCATTGGCCACTGGGCCAACGCGCCCTTCCTGACGCCAAGAGGGTCTTTTAATTCCCGCGTCCCCATTGGAAGAACAGACCGTTGGCTCCGCCTTATGAGTGGGACCAAAAACATCCCTTCGACCCCGCTTGACTTCTAACCACGTGACAGAAGGGGCGAGGGCTTTCGCCTCCATTTGGACTCCCGGGAGGCCTGTTCCGTTTCCTCCTTCCCCCACATTCTTTTGCTGAGAACGTCGCATACGCTTAGGAACTTGGCCAGCAAGAGAGGATGGTAATAGCAAAGAAAATAATAATTACTAATATGTATAGAATGCCTGCTCTGCCCTCGGCCCCAGCTTCCCCCACCATTTACAGAGAGAGAAACAGACCCAGAATGTCTTGGTCCTATTTTTCGAAGTCTCGCTGATAAGATACGAAGACCTGCAAACTGTCTCCAAAGTCCGTGGTTTTAGAAACCAGAAGTAGTGCTTCTGAAGAACTGTGGAGCCCAGCTTGCATTGTCCAAAACCCTCCTTGCCACTTCCAGGCTGCATTGCTTTGCACAAGGAATTTTCCTTTCTGAGTCCCACTTTCCTATTTCGGAAAACAGAGGTCACAATCGCATCTCCCTATAGAGAGCTAAGAGGATTAACTCACCTTTGGGGTCTAGTAGATGGAATAACAAGTGGATTATTCTCTAGTCAATCGTCAGAGAGCTGGACACCTTCGCCCGCAGCGAATATATCCATTTCCCTTCCCTTGCAGACATTTAATTAAGATCTAAGTTTCCCACAGGGACTCACGGGTTCCAAGTTCACACAAACTGCTGAATGAACATATTAATGGAGCCCTGGTCGGGTGTCTTGGTTGATTGGAACATTGTTCACCAAGGAGTTGAGGGTTTGATTCCCTGTCAGGGCACATAACCTAGGTTGCGGGTTCTATCCCCGTTTGGGGGGTGTGTGGGTTTGAGGGGGCATCAACCAATCCCTGTTTTTCTTTCACATTCATGTTTCTCTTTGTCTCTCTCTCTCTCTCCCTTCCTCTTCCTGGCTGGTGTGGCTCAGTGGATTGAGCATCAGCCTGCGAACCAAAGGGTCGTGGGTTGATTCCCAGTCAGGGCACCTGCCTGGGTGCCCGGGTCCAGCCTCCGCAGGTCTCAGGGTCCCCAAAGACCTCGATGGACAGTGCAGGTGACAAATGAAGAGTCAGACACCCGATTGGATGCTGGAGAACAGCCAGCCTCTGTGGGTCTGACCAAAGTCACAGGGTTTGATTTAAGCTTTTTTTAAATAGAGATTGTTGCATAACATTAAAGGAACAGGTGCATAGCATGATCAGTTAAGCAGAAAAGATTAATGCAAAGGTAACCAGGAAGAGTACAGGAAATTCGATAGATTAAGTTATGTTAAACAAAGGTTATTTTGACCAGAAGAGCCATTAATCAGACGATTAGAAATAGCTGTACGTACAGAGGTTTTAAATGTCTTGTTGAAGAATAGATGTTTTTTAAAGTTCTTAGAATTTGGCATGGGTCAAAAGGACTTCAGTGAATCTCGTGAGCGTTATGGAGAGTGAAAGTAAACCAATTTCAAAGGGTTGCATGGTGTGTGATTCCACTTATAGAACATCCTGGAAGGGACACAGTTGCAGTGATGGAGAACAGACCAGTCTCTGCAGGACCGGGCTCTGGGAGGGCGCGGTTTCTTTAGGGGGAACGCAAGGGAGTGCGTTGGTGGGATGGAACCGTTCTGCATCCTGACCGTCAGGATGAACACTCAAATCGACACATTTGATAACATTCCTCAGAACATAGAAGTGCCGATGAAATCCGAAGCGGGTCTGTAACAGATTGAATAATGTAGCAACATTAATTCCTGGGTTCAGGGAAGTGCTATCGTCACCTAAGATAGTCCTGTGGGGGAATCTGGGTGTCCGGTACAAAGGAATTCTCTGTCCCACGTTTTGCAACTTCTTAAACCATTTTGTCTAAGAACTTATTTAATATTGTTGGCAGGGAGTTCCTATACCCAGAGCAATCATTCTGCAGTATCACGTGGTCCAGCACTTTCCAGCCTGGGCAGAGGTCTCTGCCCTTGAGAAGCTCTCAGAGCTGTGCCAGAGAAGGCGTGTGTGTAAGAACATTGTTTGCAGCGTTGGCTGTGTTAGCTCAGAACTGGGAGCAGCCGTTAGTAATAAAACAGTGGCAGATAAACGGTGGCAAATTCTAGCAACCGATACCGCATAGCCAGGAAAATGGGTGTGTGAACTCCACCCGGTGTTCACGTGGAATCTCTAGTCTTGGTGGGGGAAAGCGCTGGGTTTTTGTCTTCTCCCACATAAACGCGTATTCTGCATTGTTTATAGGTGTATATTCCTGTATAACAGAGAACTGGGAACATTTATGGAAGTGAAAAACTTCCAAGTTCAACACGGTGGTTTCCCCTGAAGTCAGGAAGAGGGTAAATAGGGGAAGGGTATAGGGGCTTTCATTCTATAGGCAACATTTTATATCTATAGGCTACATTTTATATAGGTAACCTTTTTTAAAAATTTATTCATTCTTAGAGAGGGGGAAGGGAAGGAAAACGAGAGGGAGAGAAACGTCAGTTGGCTGCCTCTCACACGCCCCCTACTGGGGAGACCTGGTCCACAACCCAGGCATGTACCCTGACTGGGAATGGAACCGGTGACCCTTTGGTTTGCAGGCCAGCACTCAGTCCACTGAGCCACATCAGCCAGGGTTAAGTTTTATATTTTAAGACAAGCAATGGGAAGCCATGATGGCGCTATGTTAAGGCTTGGAGAATCTGGGCGGTATGTTCCAGCGTGTTTGCCATTTCTCTGTACTTTGCTGTGTATTTTCGTGCCTGTGAATCAATTCCACAAAGCTCTTATACCCGGTCATCTGTGCCTGCCTCTCCTCCAAAGGCTTCCTGAGTGGGAACCCAGGTGACGCTCACAGCCACCCTCTGCGGTGTCCTCAGTCTCACTTGACAGAGGAGGAAACCGAGGCACAGACAGCTCCAAGGATCTTGCCCAGGGTCACACATTCAGCAAGTGGACGGGCTGGGATTGAAACCCACGGTCCAGGCACTGAACCGTGTCCGCCGTGTTTGATTTAATTCATCATTAAGTAAGGGAAATCGCTGACCTGCGCTGGGAACGCGCTGCTCAGCAGGTCAGAAGGCACCTTCTGTCCCTGGGAGGCTGACCACAGGGTGAAACACAAAACAGTTCCTGGGGCCCAGAGGGAGAGGGGGGGCATTCACAGAGGGCACGGACCGTGAAGTGGAATTCGGGGGTGAATGTCTTCTCTCAATGCCTTTTGACAAGGGCTGCCTGGTCGGGCTTTACTCTAGGAAGGATGCCAGCTTTCTAAATCTCTTTCTCTTTTAAAAAAGATTTTATTTTTTATTTTTTAGAAAGGAGAAGGGAGGGAGAAAGAGATGGAGAGAAACACTGATCAGTTACCTCTCACACACCTCTAAATGGGGACCTGGCTTGAAACCCAGGCATGTGCCCTGACTGGGAATCAAACCGGTGGTGACCCTTCAGTCTGCAGGCTGGCACTCAACCCACTGAGCCACACCAGCCAGGTCCGCTTTCTAACTCTCTTGCTCTCTTTTTGAGACACACAAAGCAGTGATGTTGGAAGTGAGGCAAAGCCAGCCTGAGCTCAGGTACTAACTTGTGTGAGTCTGGGTGGCAGCTCGTTCCAGGTCTTGCTGGCAATGCCATCGGCAGACCTTGGAGGCAGTGGAACCCGCAGTGAGAGCTGAAGGCCCAGTGCCCGCCTGCTCACAGCCAGGAATTCCAGACAGAGCCTCGGGGGTCATTCAGCAGCCGGCCTGCCCGATGGAACACAAATATTTATAGAGCATCCAACCGGTGCCAGGTCCTGGGGACACGATGTGATGGAGACAGACGCTTTCTGTGTCTTTGTTCAGCTATCGGGGCTGGCGGGGCTGCTGGTGAGGGGATCAGTGAGGGGGGCGCAGCATGGGCTCAGAGCGGGGAGAGACCTGGGTGTGTTCTCAGGGCTGAAATAAAGGCCGACGTGGCTGAAGCAAAGAGACAGCGAGTAAGTGGGGGAGGAGCCGGGGCTGGGGAAGCGGGCAGAGGAGAAGTCGTGAAGGGCTTGGCGGGGACGCGGAAGGATTTGTAGCACAGCAGCAGGACGAAGACCTGATTTGTGCAGCTTCTCATTGTGGCGTCCATTATTCACGGGACACACATGCTCATCCAGCAAATGATTTGACTCTCTTTTTCTCTTTAAAGATTTTATTTATTTATTTTTAGACAGAGGAGAAGGGAGGGAGAAGGAGAGGGAGAGAAACATCAAATGTGTGCTTGCCTCTCATGCACCCCCAGCTGGGGACCTGGCCTGCAACCCAGGCACATGCCCTGACTGGGAATCAAACCGGCAGCCCTGTGTTTCACAGACCGGTGGTCAATCCACTGAACCACACCAGCCAGGACACCATTTGACTCTTGATCTGGCTCTGCTGGGCACCCACAGATGAACCTCACCCTACCCCCCAACCCCCTCTGGTGGGGGACAGACACTATTTGTGGTACGTGTATTAGTTCCCCCTCCCAAAGGTACCCATGTCCAAGTCACCAGACCCTGTGAAGATGGGACCTTACTCGGGAAAAGGGACTTTGCGGGTGTGATGAAGTGAAGGGCCTTGAGGTGGGAGATGACCCTGGACTATCTGGTGGGCTCCGTGTGACCGCAAACACCCTTAGGAGAGGGAGGCAGGAGGGTCAGAGTCAGAGGACGAGATGGGACCCCAGAAGAAAGTCAGAGATGGATTGGAAGGTGCTGCGCCGTGACTTGGAAGCCGGGGGGAGGGGCCGTGAGCCCAAGGACACAGGCGGCCTATTGAACCCGGGACAGCAAGGAAACAGATGGCCCCAAGCACCTTCAGAGGCGATACAGCGCTCCCACACACCTCGGATTTAACCAAACAAGATCCCTATTATACTTCTGACCCCCGTTAAGTGTTCGATACTTTGTTGTAGCCGCAACACAGCGCTCCAGGCTCTGGGTGAGCTGTGCCAGATGGTGGGAACACGGGGCCGTGCAGGGGTCACGGAAGGGGCATCTCTAGCCCCGCCTGGGGACCGGGAGGACTGGGCACATTAGCAGACTATCAAACAGCATCTCGAAAGACTTTTTAAAAACATTTTATTTGTTTCTTTTTAGAGAGATGGGAAGGGAGGGAGAAAGAGAGGGAGAGACACACTGATGTGCATGAGATACAGTGATCAGTTAGTTGCCTCTCGCTCGTCCGTCAATGGGGACCTGGCCCTCAAACCCAGGCATGTGCCCTGACTGGGAATCAAACCATTTGCAAGCCAGCACTCAATCCACTGAGCCACACCGGCCAGGGCTTGAAAGATTTCAGTGGAGGTTTTCCAGGTCTAGAAGGAGTGGCGGCCTTTCAGGCAGAGAAAACAGACCACACAAGAGCAGGCGGCGAGGTCTGTACGGAAATGAGAACGGGGAGCCCAGGGTGGGAGGGGAGTGCACAAGAGAAGAACATAGAGAAGTCGACTGGGCCATTTGTGAAGGGTCAAAGAGCTGACCCTGCAGGTGGTGGGGTGTGAAGAACAGGGAAAAGGGGGCGAAGGAGCAGAGTCATATTCAGGTGTTAGAAAAACACCTGTGGAATTAATTGAAGGTCAGGCGGAAACTGTGGACCATGCAAGGGGCGGGTGAAGAGTGTGCCAGCAAGAGAACACAGCAGTTATCCGTTAACTCATTTGTTCTCCAGGATCTGGGAGCTCAGTTTCAGTGCCAAAAATAGCATGGAAGGAGCTGCAGTGTGGACTGTGGATCCAGCCTGCCAGGGCTCGAATCCCGGCTCTGCCTCTTCCTGGCTCTGAGACTTCAGGCAAGTCGCTCGGCTTTTCTTGTTTGTGTCATCTGTGAAGTGGGGACAATGATAGTAACGACCACACAGGGGCTTTGTGACTACGAAACTAATTGTTATTTATAATACATAAAATGCTCGGGATGGCACCTGCCATAATCTAAGTGCTATAAAACTGTTAGCTACTATGTATTAGTGTGTATAAGTTTCCCATTGCTGCTGTAAGAAATGAGCACTGTCAGGAGCAGTAGTATTAATAGTAGGAGTGTTAGTACTCACCGCCCAGAGCTCTGACCATGAAAACGGAGAGGAGACACATGGAGAGAGTTTGGGATGTTTTAGTGAATAGAATGAATGCAGACTCAGAGAGGGGAGCTGGGAGGGACAGAGTCCAGAAGAGACAAAAAGAAAGAATGTATTAGTTTCCTGCAGCTGCTATAACAAATCACCACAAATTTCGTGGCTTAACACACACATACACTCTTAACGCTTCTGGACAGCAGACGTGCACAGTGGCTGTCACTGGGCAGAAATCCCCGCGTTATCAGCATTCCTTCTGGAAGCTGTGAGGGAAGGATTTGTTTCCTCGCCTTCTGCAGCTTCTAGGTGGCACCCATGTCTTCTCCCATGGCCTGGAATCACTCTGACCTTCTTTGGTCCAATGCCCTTTTCTGCCACCCCCTTGCCTCCCACTTATGCATATCCTTGGGATTACATTGGGTCGGCCTGAGTAATCTGGTATCATCTCCCCATCTCGAGACCCTTAATTGAGTAAGATCGGTGAAGGCTCTTTTGCCGTGAAAGGTCCCGTAGGTACAGGTCCTGGGGACTGGGATACAGATATGCTTGAGAAGCCATTATTCTGTCTACCACAGAGCCACGTAGGGAGAATGTTTTAAAAGGTGCAGGGTTTACTATTACTCAGGTACGCTGAGGCCACTGGGTCAGGAGACAGTTGCCATTGGAAAAGACAGTTTGGGCCCTGGCCCGGTGGCTCCGTTGGTTGGCGCGTTGTCTGCTACACCAAGAGGTTGGGGGTTCGAATCCCTGTCAGGGCACATAGGTAGCTTCCTGGTGATCTCTGGTTGGGGCGCATGTGGGAAGCAACTGCTGGATGTTTCTCTCTCATGTTGATGTTCTTCTCTCTCCCTTCCTCCCTCCCTCTCTCTCTAAAAAAAGCAGTGAAAAAAAAATGTCTCCAGGTGATATAAAAACATTTGGGAAAGACAGTTTGTCACAGTTCCTAAGAGGAGGGGCAGGCACGTGACATAGGGCGACACAGGGAAGTGCCAGGGTTGGTCAGGAGTCGGGGGGACGTGGGGAAGGGCTTTCCTGTCCTCCTGTGGGAAGGAGCAGGCGTGCAGGCTCCAGTCTGGCCAGTGGGAATCATCTCTGCAGGTCCCAGGAGGCGGGGAGTGGAAGTCCATCCCCCAGCAGGTGAGTGGTTTACCATGTCCAGCAACTGGCTAACTGTGGGAGGGGCAGTCCCTCCTGTGCCCGCAGGGCCTCAGATGTCAACACGTCAGAACACAGGGCAGCCCTGAAGGGGGGTGGCTCAGTGAGTGGGTGTCGTCTCGAAAAGCAAAAGGTCGCCAATTCGACTCCCAGTCAGGGCACATTCCTGGGTTGTGGGTTTGGAGCCCGGTCTGGGCGCGTGTGAGAGGCAACCAACCAATCAATGCGTCTCTCTCCCTCTCTTCTCCTCTCTCTAAGTGTCATCTTTTAAAAAATTACAAAAGAAAAAAAAAAGAAATACATGGTAAATACATAGGTCAGAGACTCAGAGTAGCAGAGCTGGAATTCCAGGAAACACAAGGCCCCAAACCCTGGCTCCTTATTTCTGTCTCTTCCCTGTCCTGTCCCCATGAGCTCCAAGTCTGCAGCTCGTGAACTGCAGGTCCTACAGGACAGGACATTCCGAAGACAGGTATGGCCCTGGCTGGTGTGGCTCAGTGGATTGAGCACCGGCCTGTAAACCAAAGGGTTACCAGTTCGGTTCCCAGTCAGGGCACATGCCTGGGCTGCAGGCCAGGTCCCCAGTGGGGAGCACATGAGAGGCAACCACACATTGATGCTTCTCTCCCTCCCTTCTCCTCTCTAAAAAATAAATAAAATCTTATAAAAACAACAATAACAAAGAGAGAGGTATCATTTAAAACCCTTTGCACGCACAGATCAAAAGGAAATCATTTTCAGATTACACATAAAGGGTTAATATGATTCTGTGCATTTAAGACTAGAATTAAAGGTCAGGCAGGAGGTAGGGATTGGTGGGGCTCGCTGCAGGGCAGAGGGGCTCTGTGCTTGCCCAGGGGCGCAGGGCACCCTGGTACGAGGCAGTAAACCTGAGACCCCGAGAGCCTTTCTCCTCGTTCCTTTCCGAACTTGGTGCCTACTGGGGGAGACAGAGTCATCAAGGGGCCAAAGAATCACAGATTTCGAAAAGCATCCTGGGGGCCTGAACTGTTCTCCTTAGATATGGGAGTCAGGGGCCGGTTCCTAAATATGTTCTCCAGTTTCTGGCCAGGAGCCATGGTCTTGTGTATTATCCAATCCTGGCAGGGGTGTCTGACCTCAGCCCACATACAGCCCGGGATGGCTATGAATGAGGCCCAACACGAAATTGTAAACTTAACACATTAGGAGATTTCTTTGTGATGACGTGTTGCAATGTTTTTATTGTGTGGCCCAGAGGCACCAAAAGGTTGGACAGCCGGCAGGCACGCTGGAAGACTGCCAGCACTGGGTGCCTGTTTTCCAAGAGAAGCAGGCAATTGTTGCTGAGGTTCAGCGGGGCAAGAGGTGGGGGCACATGCAACTCCCCAGGACCTTCCCTTGGATGTTCCAGGATCTGGGAATACAGTTTAATAAGCACACGTAGATAATTTAAAAACCTTTTTTAAGGAGAGAAACATCAGTCTGTTCTTTCACTTATTGATGCATTCATTGATCTTTGTATGTGCCCTGACTGTGGCTAGAACTTGCAACCTTGGGAGTATTAAAACGATGCTCTAACCAACTGAGCTACCTGGCCAGGGCCCTCCCTGATGATTTTTATCATGCTTCCTTTACATCTTCCCCTCTGTGGATGCAGAACTAGACCTACCCCATGTCTAGTGCTGGAATACCAGCTGTAGAGAGATGGGCTGGGGTGGCTCTAATAGGTAGCCTCTGTCAATTTCCTTCATTGCCTGCCAGTGAAGACAGGTGCAACATCCGGAGCAGCTGCAGCCGCTTTGGGACAAGAGTGCTCCTGTACCTCCTGCCCCCCACACCCACCTACCACAGCAGAGGTAGATGAGAGAACTTGGTACTTGGAGGGCCCTGGAGCTACTCTACCACAGGACTTCTTGCTTTGGGTGATAATACACTTCTCTTTATTGTTCAACCCTAGGTTTGGGTTTTCTGTCCTTGTGGCCAAAAGGATCCTGCTGAAGATGTGTTTGTGTATGGAGACAAGCAGACTCGTTAGGAGAAAACAGAAGATGCCAGGATGCAGCCTCTCAGAAATGCCTGAATTGCACCCTAAAGAATGAGAAAAACTGGCAGAACTGGGAACAGGGTTTCAGAGGGAACAGCACATACAAAGAAACGGAGGCACAGATTTGTTCTAGAAAGTGTATGTGGATGGAATTGGAGTACATAGCAGGGAAGAGAATAGTGGGCGGTAAGGCCAGAGAGGTGGGCATGGGCCTCCCACTGAGGCTGAGGGGCTGGAACCTGGTCCTGGTGCGGGTCAGCTCTGGGACCCTTCTGTGGCTGTGTGGGGAAGGGGCGAGGGGCCGAGCCATCAGGGTGGAGCCTGAGGCCGATGGTGCTGACAGCCCGGGGTCAAGAAGACGCCTGGTGTCAGCGCCGATGGGCACTGCTGAGCACTCTGCTGCCCTGACCCAGCCACAGGGTCGACACTGTCTTCGAGGCATCGCTGGTCCCACAAAAGGTAGAGAAAGGTCTCGAGAGATCATCCAAGCCTCATAAACCAACAGAAGCGGGGCCCAGAGCAGCAGGCGGACTGGAGTTTCTGGCAGCAGCTGCGGGGTGCAGGATGCCGAGTGGCCCCCCAGCTGGGGCGGCAAGGCCGGTCCATCTAAGAAGGCAGGGGCGAAGCGGACACTCTCAGGAGGGAGGCGGCTTCCCTAAGCAAGCTGATGTCATGAGTGCCCGCTGCGCACAAGCAGGCAGGTCCCTGGAGGGGGACAGACAGCAGGGCTACAGGCCGGGAGACTGCAGGAGCTGAGGCAGCAGAGCGGGGCCTCTGGGTAGCACGGTGGGAAGCACCGCCCTGTCCCGTGTTGCCTAGGAGGTCACACGCGTTGTCCTCAGAGGAGGGTGACTGCGACACTTCGCCATCCTCCCATCGTCTGTGACGGTAGGAACCCAGAGTGCCACGGTCCTGGAGGATCACAGATGCTGGGAATCGGGCTGAGGCAGATTGGGGGACTGTTCTGGAACCTTATTTTCTGAAGCTGCCACATTTTTCTGGTCGCCAGCTGGAGCTGGGACAGGAGCGTCATCTGGAAATGAAGGAAGGAAATGGCAGCACTGGACATCCCAGCCCCTCCCCCCTCAGACCCGGGAGCCCAGGTCTCCAGCCCTCCCCACGGGACCCAGGAGTCCGGTCCCATCCTTCCCTCCTCCTCCTCGGGCCCAGGGCCCGCACCTGTATTTTGGGGCTGGAACTTGAGCTGTCCCTCAGGGCCGGGGGCTGCGGCATTGTGGCCTTGCTGCTGCTGTTTCCTCTGTTCCATTTGCAGAACGGCCTGCAGGGGGTGGGGAGATTGCATGATGCTGAGGCTCCCCATTCTGCTAAGCACTCCTAGTCCTTTCTCTATGGTTCTCTCGGTTCTTCTCCCCCATCAAGAGTTGGCCTTAGTGACAAAGATCCAGTTCTCTCTCCCTTGTCGTGGCTTGGGTTGCACCTTGGGACTGAGAAGTCCTCAGTGAACTCTTGCTGGAATCCACCCTTCTCCCTCTTACCAGGGCACTGCCCTTATCTAACATGGCAGCCAAGGGGTTGTGGAGCAGGCACATCTGCCCTCACTCAAGATGGAGGCTGCACCCCCCCCCCCCCCAGGATGTATCTGTGATTGACAGTGACCATAGGCCTTCAGAACCTCTGGACCCTCGAGGACTGGGGCACCAGGAGCTGGCAGGACAGGTACGGCTGCCCTGGCCAGTCACCTGCTGAAGCTCTCTCTTCTGGGCCTCCAGGCGGCCCTGGGAGCGGCCCAGGGCCTCCGACTCCTGGCTGAGGCGCTGGGCCTTGGCGTTCAGCTCTGCCTCCCTGGCCGCCAGCTCCTCCTCAAAGCGCCGCAGCTCCTCCTCTGTGTAGGCAGGATGCATCTCCACGGTCTGCCGGGGTGGGGACAGGGGCCGTTAGCAGGTGCCTCGGCCGTGGCTCCAACGTGGTGGAGAGGCCCCGGGGCCGGAGAGGCAGGGAGGCCTGGGCCCTGGGTGTGGAGCGCCGAGGCCCAAGTCGAAGCTGGGGACGGGGGATGAAGACTCAGGGAGAGCAGAGAACAGACCCAGAGACAGAGGGGGACAGTGACAGGGCGGGTGGGGGCCTGCACAAGGATCCAGCGAGTGAGAGAAGCGCCAAGGGCTCCTGAAAGGAGGGTTAGGACTGAGAGAGACATAGTCGGGGCCCAGGGAACCCCCATGTCCTCACCTCCCAGCCCTCCCCTGTGTCCCCAAACTCCTTCCTCTGGGTGGATGCGAGGAACTCCTCCAGGGTCACGAGACGGTCCTGGTTGGTGTCCACCTGGGCGTCAAGATAAGGGTAAGGGACAGGACTGGGCCACCCTGCACCCCTCGCCCACCCGCCCCCTTGGCCCGGCCCTCCTCACATTCTTCATCACATGCTCGCGCATGCGCAGCCGCTCCTCCTCCATCTCCCGCATGTCGTCTTCCTCATTCTTTGGGTCATACACCTTCTCCAGCTGCGGGATCAAGGAGAAGGCACTGAGATCCGGGGCAACGGCTTTGGCAGGCTCCTGCCCCTCCTTACACACGACCAGACGCCCATTAGCCCTTGGGGCACCTTGCCATTCATTCCTGGCAGCCTTTTTTCTTGGGGTGCCCTCTGGGACTGCTGGGAGTTGTAGTTCTCCCTCAATTTATACCCGGGAGGGCCTAGGGAAGGACCACGTGGCCAATCTGAGCATCCTTGGCATCGCGGCTTCCAAGACACTCACCTCCTTGGTGAAGAGGGCCTCCAGCTCCTGCTCATCTAGGACACCATCGCTGTTGATGTCTGCAGGGGAGGCAACAACGCATTTGGGGGACTGAGGTTGGGGTAGGTCAGGTCCCTGAGGGACCAGCTGGAGCCGGAACCGGGGCTGTTTCGGAGGACAGCCCACCAGTCTCCGAGGGCAGAAGGGCGGCCTCCAGGCTTTAGGGCCCTCCAGCCCTGCTGTGAGGCCAGCCTGCTCCCTGCTACCAGGGTCCCCAGAATGGAGTGGACGGATGTGGGGACCCACTGGGGCCATTCCTGGGGCTGCCGTCATGCAGGATGACTTGATCCCCAGCACTTGGTGACACGGGCACAGATCAACCCCTCCGCCCCGGATCCAGGGGTTTCGGGGGCCTCTGCCTCCCAGAGAGCCTGCCAGGGCCGACTGCAGCTCCCAGAGGGGCCTCGCCCGGCCGGTCCGGCTCCGTGGGCTGTGCTCACTGTCCCCACCTCTCTGAGTTCTCAGATTTCCCCTACACCCACCCTGCTGAGGTGGCCAGGACCCCTGACCTTGCAAAATCGATGGTGAATTTTCGGCCCACATCTAACCTGATCCCACCCGTGGTGTCCAGAGCACCAGGCTCTCCAGCTGCCCCTCCCCCCCCTTTCTGGCTCCCTCTTCCTGCTGAGGGCTACACCGCGCGGTGCATCTTCCATCTGATCTTCAGATCTGCCCCTTGTGGTAGCCACTAGCCACATAAGCTATTCACATTTAAACTGATTAATAGTGAGTGAGATTTAAATGTCGGTTTATGAATAGTCATACATGGCTGGTGGGGGCCACCCTGGGCGGCACAGGACATTTCCCATCATTATAAAGAGATTGCTGTTGGCCCTGGCTGGTGTGGCTCAGTGGATTGAGTGCCGGCCTGTGAACTAAAGGGTCGCAGGCTCAATATCCAGTCTGGGCACGTGCCTGGGTGGGTGGCTGGCCAGGTCCCCAGTTGGGGGTGCAAGAGGCAAGCACCCACTGATGCTTCTCTCTCTCTTTCTCCTTCCCTTCCCCTCTCTTTACACATAAATAAATAGGATTTTTCTTTTAATTTAATTTATTTATCTTTAGAAGGGAAGGGAAGGAGAGAGGGAGAGAAATATCAATGTATGGTTGCCTTTTGTGCACCCCCTGCTGGGAGTTGGTCCGCAACCCAGGCATGCGCCCTGACTGGGAACCGAACTGCAATCCTTTGGTTCACAGGCCCACGCTCAATCCCCTGAGCTACGCCAGCCAGGGCAATAAATAAGATCTTTAAAAAAAAGAGAGAGTGCTGTTGACCGGCACTTTCCGAGACAGGTTCCTCCAATTCCTCGGCTTTTATTTTTTTAAGACTACTGTATTTTTTAAAAATTAATTTTAGAGAAAGAGGAAAGGGGGGGGGAGAGAGACAGACAGACAGAGAAACAATGCTTAGTTGTTCCACTTATTGTTGCATATTCATTGGTTGTCTCCCGTATGCGCCCTGACCAGGGATGGAACCTGTCACCTTTGTGTATCGGGATGATGCTCTAACCAACTGAGCTACCGGGCCAGGGCCTGGTCCCTCAGTCTTTGACGCCATCCATAAGCCGCCTCCACACCTGAATATTCAACTGCCTGCTCTCCACCTGCACGTGCCTGTCTACCAGACACCTCTAATTAAACACGAACAGACCCAGCTCCCAATCTGCCCAGCCAAACCTGCTTGTTCTATTCTATTTTTCCAGTTTCTCAGGCCAAATATCTTGGAGTCACCTTTGACCCTTTTGTTCCTTCATAACTCTCATCCAGTCCACCTGTAAGTCGTACTAGCTTGACCTTCAAGGTGAATCCAGAAACTTCCTTCCGGTGGTCCAGCCACCAGCATCTCCAGCTTTCTGACGAGGCTCCGGGCATCAGCCCTCACGCCTACAGCCTGTCCTTGACCTGGCACCCAGAGGGAGTCTGTCACCCCTTGAGGCACATGGTGTCATTCTGCTCAAAGCCCTTTTGTGATGTCCCATGACAGAATCAAGTCCACATTCCGTTCCCTGGCCGTGAACTTGGGTGGGCCAAGTCCAATCTTCCCCGTGTGAGCTTGCTGTCCCCCGTCCCTAGAATGCGCTTCCCCTAAACCTCTGCTAGCTGCAGCCTCTCACTTCACTGAGGTCCCTGTTCCAATGTCACCTCTCCTGAGCTGCGGCGCCCACCACAGAGGTCACCAACCTCATGGGGCGTGTTCATTTGAGTCAATAACAATCAGATGAAAAATTCATTTCCCTGATACGATGCCACAAAAGGAGAAATACTGTCTGATTTTGCTTATGTGAGGGAGCTAGAAAGGTCAAATTCATAGAGAAAAAAACATAAAAATGGAGGTTACCAGGGCCAGTGGGGAGGGGACTGGGGAGTTGTTGATTAATGAAGAGTTTCCGTTCCAAAGGAATGATAGAGTTCCAGAGAGCGGTTATGCAACAGTGTGGACATACTTGACCTATGGAGCCGGCCACTTATGGAGAGCCGAGACGGGAAATTTGATGGCCTCTGTGTTTTACCGGATCACAAGTCTCAAAACATTTATCGGAACTGAAAGAAAGCTTCAGGTCCGCAGGCGTAAGAGCCACGTTTCAAGTGCTGCGTAGCCAGGTGGGGCTGGTGGCCGAGGTGCATAGGACATTTGAACACACAGAAAACATTTTCGTCAGGATGGAAAGTTCTAGACAACGCTGCTCTAGCAAGATCTCTCCTGACCAGGCTACCAAAAATCGTCACTCCAGGCCCTTAATCCCGTTGTCCTCATTTCCGTGGCACATGTCACTCGACTATGGAACTGATTGCCCCGATTCTAAGATGCACCCCCTCCCGCCTCTGATTTGATCATCCCTGAAGTCAGTGTGCTTGACAGGTTATGTAAAACTTCTAGTATCTTACGCTCCACTGGGTCATAGATTCATTGAAATACAGATTTATCTGTGTGCAGCATCACTGGCTTTGTTTTGTTCACAGCTGTATCTACAGGGGCTCCGTGTAGCTGGGTCCTTAGAAATCGCTCAGTGGACATTTACTGAATGAACGAACCAGGCCCTGCTAGGTTCTATCGGGGACAGCCCCGAGCAAAGGGGCTCCCCGCGGGCCTGTTTAGCTGGGGAGCAGCCTGCCCTAGTGACAGAGCTCCTGGCGAGACCCAGGGCTTCCGGGAGGCCTAGCCAAGCCTGGTTTGTCCAGTTACAGGATACCAGCCAGTCTTTGGAACCCAGCAGTCAATCCCAGGAGAGGCCTAGGTCTCCCATGGAAGGGCCCAGCAGACCAGACCACCAGGGGAGACGGGCTCAGATGCCTGCGACCTGCCTAAGCTACACAGAGATGGGGAGACCCCCTCTGAGCATTCAGGCCTCGGGAAGGTCAGCGTCTGGGAATTCAGCCTGGGTCTTGGGACGCCCTCCCCACCTTACCATGCAGTATGAAGAAGGTCTTGGGGTTAAACCTGTTGGGGTCCAATCCATCCAGCTCCTCCCACACTTCCTTCAGCTGGGCTTGGCTGCCCTGTGGAGGGGAGAGCCAGGGGCTCATGAGCAATAAGTCTGGGTCCTGCAGGGGAAGGCTAGAGAACCCTTTACACCACCATCCCTTAGTCATTCCCTTTAAGCAAGAAAATGAATAAACTACAACTCCCAGCAGCCCCTGGAGGTAGCCCCCGTGCATTAAAAGGGACTTTTGCCTCAGGGTCTGCTGGGAGTTGTAGTTTTTCAGCTATATTCTTATCTTGGGGAGCTTGAGGAATTGGACATAGTCAGGGGTGGGCATGAATGGGGGTCCTTACAGGCACATTGACTTTGGGGTGCTCTCGGTGTCGTCGCTGTTGCTCTTCCAGCTTCCTCTCTGCCTCCTTTCGCTGCTCTTCTCCCAGTGACTCCAGGTAACGGCGTCTCTCGTGTTCCTTGAGCATCTCATAGCGTTTGAACTCTTCATGATGGGCTGCGTCGTACTGGGCGAGGTCCCGGGTGGCCTGGGAAAAGGGTGACGATCACTGTCATCTCACCTCTATGTCCAGCACCAAACTCCAGCCGCCAAATGCCAGGCTTTGGCTCTGAACCAGGCCCAACCTCCACCCTGTCCCAGGTCTCATGTTCTGCTCTCAGGAAGTGGTCTTTGACCGGCTCTTGCCCCAGAACACATCCACCTCTCTGTTTGTTCAGAAGAGATTAGACTGGTTACATAACAGCAGCTTCAACCCACCTCTCTCAAGTTCTTCACAATGTCAAGACCTTGGAGGAATAAGTAATAAGAAAAACGCACACGGTGTATTTAATAGACACCTAGAATTTGAATCCAGGCTCCACTGTGTGAACAAATCCCACTACCTGTGTGATCCTGGGCAAGTGCCTCAGCCTCTCCGTGCCTCAATTTCTGCCTCTGTACGATGGAGATAACAATACTGTACTGGGTTGAATAGTGTCCCAACATTCACGTCTACCCAGAACCTCAGAACATGACCTTATTTGGAAATAGGGTCTTTGCAGATGTAATCCGTTAAGACATGGTCTGGCTGGCTGCGATCTTCTGGCCTCCAGAACTGTGGGAGGATACAAATCTTTTTTTTTTTTTTTAAGATTGTATTTATTAGGTGTCTCGTTAGCGCAGTAGGTAGCGTGTCAGTCTCATAAAGATTGTATTTATTTATAGAGAGAGGGGAAAGGAGGGAGAAAGAGAAGGAGAGAAACAACAATGTATGATTGCCTCTCACACGCCCCCTACTGGGGACCTGGCCTGCAACCCAGGCATGTACTCTGACTGGGAATCGAACCAGCAACCCTTTGTCTCTCAGGCCAGTGCTCAATCCACTGAACCACACCAGCCAGGGCCATATCTGTTGTTTTAAGCCACCAAATCTGTAGGAATTTGTCACAGCAGCCTCAGGAAACTAATACACCCAGTAACACTCTTCTTGACTTCTGACCTACATTGAATGATAAATTTGTGGTAAGCTACTAAGTTTGTGATTGCTATATGGCAACAATAGTCTCCTGGGAAATAGGTGGTACAGCAGGTTCTCATCCTGGGGCCTCTGTGACCCACAGGGGACAATTTTCAATGTCTGAAGACATTTTTGGTTGTCACGACAAAGGGAGATCCGCTGGCATCCTGCAGACACAGGCCAGGGATGCTGCTAAACATCATACAATGCACAGCCCGACAGGGGAACTCAAGAGTTAAAAATTTTAACTGTAGTTATGGCTGACGGCCTTAAGTGGTCCATGCATGTGGAAAGCCGTTATCCCAGGAATTTGACCTACAGGACTCCAGGAGGTCAACAAGCCATTCAACCTTTGTGTGTTCCCAGGAGGCAGATAAAGAATTGTTGATAAGCAGATAAAAAAAAAAAAAAACTTCTAGGAAAATAGCCACTGGACAGCAACTCTTAACTGATTAACTTTTTTCCCCCCCGAACCCCTTACCTACCCTTCTTCTGCTTATAAAAATGTCAGCTTGAGATGAGATGTCAAGACGGTCTTTAGGGTATGTAACCCGCAGTCTTCTCTGATTGCCTGCATCTGAATAAAGTGCCCACAAAGATTCAATCCTTGCCCTGACCAGGGTGGCTCTGTGGGTTGAGCACTGTCCTGCAAACCGAAAAATGGCCGGTAGGAGCTCGTACCTGGGTTGTGGGCCAGGTGCCCAGCAGGGGGCCCGCGAGAAGCAACTGATTGATGTCTCTCTCACATATTGGTGTCTCCCTCTCTCTCCCTCTCTTCCCCTCTAAAAACAAATAAAATCTTTAAAAATAAAGATTCAATCCTTGTCTCTACTTATTGGTTCTAACAGTGACAGGCATCTGTCTGTCAGAGAACGCCAACTTTTCCAGTTTCACCCCCACAACAAAAAATTATCCAGCCCCCAATGTCAAGAGGGCCGAGTTGCGAAGCCCCACTGGTGAGCGTGGAAGGCAGAGGCAAGGTGCCCACTGAGGGAGCCGCTAAGAGAGGTAGATGATGGGAGTAGAGACCACGAAGAATGACAGTGGGGCTGGAGAAAAGACGACAGTGTCTAATGTTCTGTAAATCAGTGACAAAGACAGCCAAGCGCTGGGCTGGATGCAAATGGGTGCTGCTATTATCTTCACGGCCACTAGATGGAGCTCCAGTATTCCGGAAAAGCAGGGCCAAAGCCAAACTAAGGGGTAGATTCACTCGGTCTGCGTCTGGGCACAAAGGCTGTTGTGGACAGGGAGAGGCAGCGGCAGTCCTGAGCATCTCCTTCCACACTTGGCCTTCTCCACGAGGCGGGCTGTAGATCCTATTTCTCACATGAGGGCTGTATTCGTTCTGATGGCTGCTGTAACAAATTCTCCTCAACTTGGTGGCTCAAAGCAATACACATGTATCATCTTGCACAGTCTGAAATTAGTCCTACTGGACTGAAATTAAGGTGCCAGCAGGCTGTGCTCCCTCCAGAGACTCTAGGGGGGAATCTGTTTCTTTGCCTTTTCCAGCTTCCAGAGTTGGGTTCTGTGCCGTGGCACCCTCCTCCAGCTTCGAAGCCAGCAGGCGAGGACCCGACTGCGGCGGTCACCTCACAGCCAAGCACTGCAGTCAAACCTCCCTCTTCCTCCATCTTTCAAAGACCCTTGTGATGAGATTTGGGGTCCACCTGGATAATCCAGGATCATCCCACCAGCTCAAGATCCTCAAATTAATCACATCTGCAAAATCCCTTTGGCCTTATAAAATCACACATCCACAGGTTCCATGGATTCGGACTTGACATCTCTGGTGAGGGGCTATTATTTTGCCTACAAGGGCAGAGAAGGAACAGCCCCCACCCAAGTCATATGGGAAAGGCAAAGCCAAGGAGGAATATGAAACCAGGTCTTGCCCTGGCTGGCATGGCTCAGTGGATTGAGCGCCAGCCAGCAAACCAAAGGGTCATCGGTTTGATTCCCCATCGGGGCACATGCCCAGGTGGCCCGCCAGGTCCCCAGTAGGCGGTGCATGAGAGGAGAGGCAACCACATATTGATGTTTCTCTCCCTGTTTTTCTCCCTCCCTTCCCCTCTCTAAAAATAATAAAATATTTAAAGAAGAAAGAAAGCAATGAGCTCTTAGTGCAGCCAATCCCTTCCTGCCTACCCCTCTGCTTTCCTGTACAGACCCAGCGGAGGGTGTGTTGCTGCCTCCAGACCCTCTTCAGCTGCCAACACCAGGGAAGACCAGGACGAGGTGAGTGGGCTTGTGCCCCGGGTTCTGTTCCCCTCTCCCCCGTACAGCTCCCTCAGTCCTCTGCTGGTAGTTTCCCCCATCACACTACCGTCTGAATCAGGAGCTCCAGGTCCCGGGCCTCAAACGTGTGCTGATTCTGAGGATCCAGATGTTCAAACTGCTTGAGGAGGCTCAGGTGATCCAACTGTACATCTGGATGAGGGGAAAGAGGGGGGGGAAAGCCCCCAGTCATAGAATGTTCTTTGTTTCAAAATCCCTGTCCTGGGCTAGATGTGCTCTAAAGGAAGTCACAGAGGGCTCCAAAGAAGCCCAGAGAGCAGCCTGATGGAACCTGCTGCAATCGGGGAGGGCTTCCTGGAGGAGGTGATGCCACGACCAAGCCCCATGCTTCAAATAATAACAACCATTAATAACAACTAACATGTATTGAGTACTTACTATATGCCAGGCCCTGCCCTAAACACATGAACTATATTAATACCTTATCTTTTCATGAGAATCTTACAACACTGGTTCTGTGGTTATCCCACAGTATGGATGCAAAAACTGAGGCCCAGAGAGGGGAAGTGACTTGTCTAAGTTGCCATCTAGGAAGTGGCAGAGCGAGGATTAGAACCGGCCGCTGGGCTCCACAGCATATGCGCTCGCCCCCTGCTAAGGGTTGAGTCCTGGGCTCTAAAGTTCATTTGTGGAAGTCCTAACCCCTGGGGCCTCAGCATGGTGATCTTCTTTGGAGAGAAGGTTTTTATAGAGGTGATCAAGTTAAAATGAGGCCATTAGGGTAGACGCCAAGCCAGTATGACTGGTATGGAAGAAGAAGAAGAAGAAGAAAGAAGAAGAACAAGAACAAGAAGCAGGTCTGGCTGGTGTGGCTCAGTGGACTAAGCTCCAGCCTGCAAACCAAAGGGCTGCGGGTTCAATTCCCAGTCGGGGCACACGCCTGGGTTGCAGGCCAACTCTCCAGTAGGGCGCATGTGAGAAGCAACCACGCATTGATGTTGCTCTCCCTGTCTCCCTCTCTCCAGAAACAAACAAACAAACAAATAGGAAAATTTGGACAGAGACAGACGCAACGGCGAGATGATATGAAACGATGCAGGAAGACCGTGGCCATTTATAAGCTGAAGAGACTGCAAAGCATCCTTCCCTCCACCCCCAGAAGGAACCAACCCTGCGACACCTGGACTTCAGACTTCTGGCCTCCAGACTGGAGACAATCCATGTCCGAGGCCGAATCTATGCAGCTCGCGGTGCTCAGTCATGACAGCCTAGGAAAGCAGGCAAGCTCCTCACAGCCTGGAAAGGGCAGGCCTTCGGGGCGGGAAGGGAGAGGGCTCACCCCGTCGCTCACTGAACTCCGGTCTCTGGAGGCCTCCCCGGGGCCTGGATACGCACTGGGCCCGGGATGGCCCTCCAGTGCCTTCTGGTCTGGTGGGGGTGACAGACACCCACCCGGGCAGCTGGAATCTGGGTGTCCGTCACTGCCACGGGGCCTGCCTGGGCCGGGTGACCCTGGAGGCACAGGTGCTCAGGAGACTGAAACTCACAATTCACTTTTCATGCCCCCAGTGCCAGCTGGGCTGCTACTCATGGCGCTGTGGCCACAGCAGGAACTGGCAGCGACAGACTCCGCCCCACAGAGCACCCAGTCGAGAGACAGGGAACAGGTGTTTAAGGGACAAACACATGAGCACGAAGGACACAGACGGAGGCTCCGCCATGCAGGGCGGTCAGGGCAGGACTTTCTGAGGAGCCGGCAGCTGAGCCGAGAGCAAAGCTCGGAGAATGACTGTCCCAGGCAGAGGGAAGCACAAGGGCCAAGGTCCTGAGGAGGGAGTGTTGCACTCCAGTGTTTACTAAAAATGCTGATGCAAGTGGTCAAGAGGGCGGACATATGACCGCAGGGGCTGGGGCGGCTGTGGTGGCGTCTCAGGCAGCAATGAGGGCAGTGGACTTGACCTTGAGGGCACTGGGGGGCTACGGATGGGTTCAGAGCAGAGGAGGGACAGGCCTTGAACTGGGTGCGTGGTGAGCTGAAGAGAAACCCCCAGGACGTCCACATCCTAAGCACTGGAACCTGTGGATTTGGGGCCTCGAATAACAAAAGGGACTTTGCAGATGAGATTAAATTAAGGGTCCCAAGACCAGGCGGTCCCTAAATGTAACCCCAAGGGTCCTTTTAAAAGAGGGAGGTGGAGGGAGATCTGACCCCAGTAGAAAGAAATGGGACCAGTGAAGAAAATGCTTTGTAGATGGAGGAAGGGGATGACCAGACAAGGAAGGGATGCGGCTCTAGAACCTGGAACAAGTGAGGAGCCTCCTGACGGCACCAGCCCCGCCCACCTCGCTCACCAGCCCCGCCCACCTCGCTCACCAGCCCCGCCCACCTCCATCCGGACATCAGCCTTCTGACGCCCTCAGTGTAAGAGAACGACTGTGTGTTATTTGAAGCCACTAAGTTTCTCTGACAGTGGCCACAGGGAATGAATAGAGGTGTCAACAGAATCCCACTGGCTGCTGTGTGAGAGACAAACAGAGGGGACAGAGACGGGTGGAAGCAGGAAGGAGGCGACATGAGTGGTCCGAGTGAGACCCTAGCAGCAGCAGTGAGTGTGGAGAGAAGTGGCCAGATTCTGAAGCTGTTTTGCGTTGGTGGCGGGACGAGGCTACAGTCTCCAGCGGGGTGTCTGAGACACAATAAACAGACAGTTGGCGGGAGACCCTTTTTCATTCGTGACAAGGAAACATCTAATTTACCAGAAAGCAAATCGGACTCTGACACTGCAATAATTACAACAGCATGGCAGAGCCCTGGCTGGCTAGCTCAGCTGGTTGGAGTATCGACCCTGATATGTCAGGGTTGCAGGTTTGATCCCTGGTCAGGACACATACAAGACTCAACCGATGAATGTATGAATCAGTAAGTCGAGTAAGAAATTGATGTTTCTCTCTCAAGTCAATAAGGTTTCTAAGAGACTTATTTATTTTTAGAGAGGGGAAAGGAGAGAGAAAGAGAGGTAGGGGAAAGGAGAGAGAAAGAGAGGTAGAGAAACATCAATGTGTGGTTGCCTCTTGCACGCCCCCTACTGGGGACCTGGCGGGCAACCCAGGCATGTGCCCTCATTGGGAATTGAACTGGTGATCCTTTGGTTCTCAGGCCGGTGCTCAATCCACTGAGCCACACCAGCCAGAGCAAAGTCAATACATACATTTTTAAAAATTATTTCAAACAGCACGGCAGAGAAGGCATGAGTGGCTACGCAGAGGAGACCAGAGACCACATCCGTCTGGTCATCTTAGACCTGTAGCATCTGCTCAAAGCTGGGCACAGAGGACTCAAGCCTTGTTTGGTCCATGGGAAATGGAGTCAGACAGAAACTAAAACAGAGGCCAGCTCTCCCACTGACCCTTATTGTCACCTGTCCATGCACAGGGCCACCATCTACAACACAGAGCCTCACGGGCTGTCAGATGAAGAATATGACAGAGGGGAATCTCAATAAAGGGGCACGTCCTTATACTCAGTGAGGGGCTGAAACACGTCCCAGCAGCACCAGAACATACTACAAAGTGACAATAAGTAAACGGCATGGTCCACATAGCACAGGGTGCAAACAACCCAGATCCATCAACTGATGAGTGGCTAAACCAAACATGGTCTCGCCATAGACCATATGGAATATTACTCGGCCCTGAAAAGGAACGAAGCTCTGATCCATGCTACAGTGTGGATGGACGCTGGAAATATGCTCAGGGAGGCCCTGGCCAGGTGGCTCAGTTGGTTAGAGCATTGTCCCAATATGCCAAGGTTATGGGTTCGATCTCTGGTCAGGGCACATACAAGAATCAACCGATGGTCTCCCTGGCTGACATGGCTCAGTGGACTGAGCACCAGACTGCAAACCAAAGGGTTGCTGGTTCAATTCCCAGTCAGGGCACATAACTAGGTGGCAAGCGGGGTCCCTGGTGGAGGGTGTGTGAGAGGCAACCACACATTGATGTTTCTCTCCCTCTCTTTCTCCCTCCCTTCCCCTCTCCCTAAAAATAAATAAATAAAATCTGAAAAAGACATAAGAAAGTTTATTAGTGAAGCAGTGAGACAGAGAGTGACTACTCCACAGACAGAGTTGCCTCCTTTTTTTTTTTAAGCCAAGTAATTAGACTACAAAATGTGGCCTCATATAAATGCCAGAAGAGTAGACTCATTCTTGTGGGGGAGATACAGAATAGCTAAGCGAGGGCAAAGACAGAGAGAGTGAAACTGGTTCAACTTCCTGGCCCTTATCACTGTGGTTGTGCAGGCGGATGTCACCGTCTGTGGACAGACACATGGACACATCCAGGCAGAAAGTTACATGGTGTCCACAAGGAGTTTGCAGATGTGCAGCAGTGGGCTAGCGGAGCAAATGTTAACAATAACCATTTGGGTGGTTTCGGTCCTATTCTTGCCACTTTTTTTTGTAAGTTTAAAGTTATATCAGCCCTGGCTGGTGTGGCTCAGTGGATTGAGTGCTGGGCTGTGAACCAAAGGGTTGCCAGTTTGATTCCCAGTCAGGGCACATGCCTGGGTTGTGGGCCAGGTCCCCAGTAGGGGGCGTGTGAGAGGCAACCACACACTGGTGTTTCTCTCCCTTTCTCCTTCCCTTCCCCTCTCTCTCTAAAAATAAATAAATAAATAAAAATGAGAATAAAAAACCCAAACAGCAAAAAGCAACCAGCCAACAATAGAATTATTGTTCTAGGAAGAATATGCTATCAGTCGTCCATACATATTTTTTTTTAAAAAATCCTCACCCAAGGATATATTTGTGTTGATTTCAGAGAGAGAGGAAGAAAGAGGGGAACGCGGATGTGAGAGAGAAACACTGATCAGTGGCCTCCTATACGAACCCTGACTGGGGATCAAACCTGCAGTCTAGGCATGTGCCCGGACCGGGAATGGAACCTGCAACCTTTTGGTGGACAGGACAACACTCCAACCAACTGAGCCACCCAGCCAGGGCTTCCACACATATTTTCAGGAAGCCCCACCTGCTCAGTCCAAGGTCAGCTGCGAGCCCAGGACTAGACGGCCAGCCCCGCCAGCCCCACCCCTGCTTACTGGGCTCCTGCTGTGCATCCATCTTGGCCTTGAGCAGCATCCGAAGCCGAGACACCTCCTGACGCTTGAGCTCATCCAACTTGGTTCGGACATGGTGGCTGACGAAGTCCAGCTCTCGGCTCAGCTTCCCACTCTGGCCGGGGAGTGAGGGGACACTGGTCAGGATGGAGGACGGGGAGGAGGCAGGCCGGGCAGCCTCGTCCTTTCTCTGTGCTCTCTGCAACCTTCTGCAAGCTTTCTGATGCTCCCCTAGGGCTCTGCAGAGCCCCTGAGACAAGGTTCTAGCCCCTCAGCTTGGCACTTGAAGGCCTGCCCACCTCTGTGGGCCCATCTCCTGCCATTCATCAAATCATACTCGGGTTCCAGCAACACTAATTGGGTGCAAGACCCCCTCAAGCTCAGCCCCAGCTGGTGTGGCTCAGTGGATTGAGTACCAGCCTTGGAACCAAAGGGTTGCGGGTTTGATTCCAGGTCAGGGCATATGCCTGGGTTGTGGGCCAGGTCCCCAGTCCCAACACACACAAACACACACACACACACACACACACACACACACGCGCACACCCCTTGTGCTGAGTGGGCTGCCTTCTCTGAGCTCCCTCTGTGATCACTTTGGATTATGTCCATTCCTCACACTGGAGAGCCCCCAGGGCTCCCCAATGACCCTAGGACAGACTTCCTGGGCTTGGCACTGGAGTGACCCTGCACTCACCGACCCCTTCCGCCCCGTCTCCTCGTCTGCATGTCGGGTATACAGCATACTGCGCTGTCAACTTATATCAGAATGCTGCATCTGCACCCAGCTCCTACTGTCTGAGATGTCACGCCCCACCCCCACCCATTTCAGCCTCTATATTACGACACTCCCAGTCGGAATCTAGCGTCATCAGGGAGTCCTATCCCTAGAAGTGGACTCTTACTGGTCAGAATGAACTGGACCTCTCTTTGGGGCTTCCTCAACGATGGCCCAGATCCTTTCCTGTCACTCATGACTCACCTGGGTCTCTTGAGCCCTGATTGGAGGGGCGGGGAGCGGGGGCGTGGCCTTTGCAGATGCCCAAAGGACTGGTCAAACGAGTCAAGTTCTGCGCTGGACCCGAAGGGTCTGCCCTCTAGTGCTGCCCACAACCCCATTTTACAGGCGAACAAAGCGAGGCCCAAGAGAAGCCACTGCCCAAGCAAGGTCCCTCAGTGAGGATGGGATGCTGGTCTCCAGCCTGGTGATCGGGTTGTTGTCACGTGTCCCCAGTGTGGGAGTCCTGGAGCCTGAGTTTAAATCCCAGCCCCGGCAAAACCTCACTGCATGACCCTCCCCAGTCCCCACTTTTCCTGCCCTGGACCTCAAAACTGAGCTCAGGTCACGGCCACCACCAATGATGGCATTTACCGCAGGCCCCCGATGTGCCTCAGCCTCCGTTTGCTGAGAAGGGAACCCAGGCACAGAGGGGTGCGGCCGCTGACCCAGAGGGTGGAAGGAGGGGCTGGGATCGGAACCCAGCACCATCCCGCTCCGCCTAAGTGACCACTGTTTCCGACTCCACTTCTCTGCTGTATGACTTTGGGCAAGCCTCTTGGGCCTCAGTTTCCCCAGACAGGCAGTGGGAGGCGCTGGGCTCAGCCCTCTGTTTTCACCTGTCTCTCCAGAGGGGCGGGGTGGGCGGGACAGACAAGAGCCCAAGGAATGCTGGGAGGTTGGGGGGCGGGGAGCAGGGCTAACGCCCCATCCATCCCAGGTCCCTGGGCCTTGGAGAACTTGGGATATCTCCTCCAGAAGGGGCATCCTCAAGCATCCGAATAGGAAGGGAGTTGTGGGTGCAGGGTAGGGGAGAAGGAGCGGGGCAGGGACTTGGGGTGGACGACCCTGGCTCCACACGGGACAGCCAGCATGGTTTAAAAGGGCTGCTGTGGGGGCAGGGATGAGGTGGAGCCTGGGCTTTGGGCTCAGCCAGTCCACGGGGCGAGACCCGAGTCCACAGGGAAGATAAACACTGCAGCTGGGACCTCAGTGTTCCCTTCTGCAAAATGGGGACAATCAGGACTCCTCTGTGCTGGGGGCCCGGGGACCCAGCTCCCACTTGCACGTACTAAGGACTACTACTAAAGCCTTCCAGACCTTTGACATGTCTAACCTAGGACAGACGTAACCTGAACCCTAGGGGGCAGATTCCAGTAGACCCCTGTTGTACTGATGGGGAAACCGAGGCACAGCAATGGACAGTCACATGGCTGGTAAGCGTTCGGGCCTGTGACATCCTCCTCTGTGCTTAGCCACACAAGTCTGTGCTCCTCACACCTCTTCCCAGTGGTGTGACCCCGACAGGTGGAAATTTCCCCCTTCGTGAGAGCTGGAGCCCCTTTAGGGAACCCGGCCCTCTGCCCTCCGAGCCCGAGGCCCCGCCCACTGCCTGCACCCAGCCGCACCTTGATGTCCTCGGAATTGGCGGCCTGCAGCTTCTCCCGGAAGTGCCCATCCGTCTCTAGCACATTGATGACCTCCTGGAGGTACCGGTGGTAGTAGAGACCCGTGTCCTGAGGTGACAAAGATGAACATAGCAGCTCCAGCGCCTGTCCTGGCCCTTCCCCAAACCCAGTCCGTGAGTAGGACCCAGGCCCTGCTCCCCTCATCGTCTGCTGAGGGGAGCGGAGAGACCCCCATGTGGCGCAGGAAGCTTGAATATAGATAAAGGCTCTATGGGCATCTGCTGTGACCCCAGGGAACCTGCTGACCTCCAGGCCACAGCTCTCACCCTTTTTTTTTTGTTTGTTTTTAAGATTTTATTAACTTATTTTTAAAGAGGGTAAGAGGGGAAAGGAGGGAGAAAGAGAGGGAGAGAAACATCAATGTGTGGTTGCCTCTCGCACACCCCCACCAGAGACCCAGCCTGCAACCCACGCATGCGCCCTAACTGGGAATTGAACCGGAGACCCTTTGGTTTACAGGCCGGCTCTCAGTTCACTGAGCCGCACAGGCCAGGGCTCACCTCTTCTGGGGTGGAGACAAAATGAATGTCACAGGGGCAAACAGGCAGCTCAACACCACCCACCCAGTGGGGCTTACAGAGCAGACTCACTGGTACTTGTTGGCAAGCAGTGACTCATTCATTCATTCACTCACTCACTTAGTAAGCATTCTCGGAGGCCCTGCTACGTGGCCAGCGCTATTCCAGGGGATACAGCAAGTGAACAAGACAGACAAAACTCCCCAGGCTCCCGGTCCTACTTCTCAGAGCTGCGCCGAGAAGGAAATGAGATAAATGGCCCGGCCTGCCGATTAGGACGTAGAAGATACTCAATCTGCTGCAGCTGTCACTACATTCGTGGAGGAACACATAGCACGTGCTTAATCAGTGGTAAGCGCATCACCCAGCTGCACCACTGTGGGTGCACTAATTTCCTATCGTTGCTAAAACAAAGTCTCCCAGTCCCGGCCGGGGTAGCTCAGTGGGTTGTGTGCTGATTTGCAAACCCAAAGGTCACTGGTTCAATTCCCAGTCAGGGCCCAGGCCTGGGCCCCAGCAGGGGTTGTGTGAGAGGCAACCACACATTGATGTTTCTCTCTCTCTCTTTCTCCCTCCCTAAAAATAAATAAATAAACTCTTTAAAAAACAACAAGAAAGTATCGCAAACAAAATGGCTTAGAGCAACACAAGTCTATTGTGAGTTTCTGAGCTCAGAAGTGCAAAATGGGTTGGCGTTGGTGGGGCTCAGCTCATTCTGGAGGCTCCAGGGCAGAACCTGTTCCGTGTCTTTTCCAGCCCCTATGGGCTGCCTGCATTCCTTTGCCTGTGGCCCCGAATCACTCTGACAGCTTACCTGACTGACCTTTCTCCTTTCTCTCATACGGGTCCTTGTGATTACACAGGGTCCACCTAGATGGTCCAGGATAAGGTTCCCATCTCAAGGTCATTAACTCAGCCACACCTATGAACACTTTTTTTTTGCCACACAAGGTAATATATTTGCAGGTTCCGGGACCCAGGGAGGAACATCTTTGCAGACCACTATTCAGACAAACACAGTGGGCTGGAGTCCCAAATCTGCCAACCACTAACCACGTGACCTTGTTAGGACCACTCATGATACCTGGGTGTCCTGTTCTTATTTGCTTAATCTGATACGCTTAGTCCTCCAACAAATAACTTAATCTCTCTGTGCCTCAGTTTCCTCATCCATCTCTCCTGACGTTATGAGGAGTGTCGTCATTCCTGAGGTTGATAACATCCTGTGATTTCCATTAGCCTCGACATAAAGAAATTCTCTACCTTGGCCCGCAAAGCCCAAAGCCCAAAGTGATCTGCCTCATTTCCTCTCTTGCTCAATCAGCCTCAGCCACACCAGCCTCTTCCACCACATGGCCTTGGCTCGAGCTAGTCACTCTGCCTGGCATGGTTCTTCCCTGAACTTCTGCTCTCAGCTCAAGGAGTCCTCCTGACCCTCGAGCTTGTGTGGTCTGTGGTGGTATGGGGCTTGCATTAGCCCTGTGCTTGGCTCATCGAAGATGCTCAAGAAACATGCGGAGTGAATGAAGGGAAAGGGAACACAGAGGTGACCTTCTGTGTCCGCAAAGACGCCTTGGGGCAGAGGCCTAACTTGCTGGGTGGGGACCAGCCACCTAGGAGCATGGGACGATCTGTTCCAGAGAGAGTGATGCGCCCGTTCCTGGTGGGCTCTGTAGGAGGATTTAGGTCATAACTCCGAGTATTGGCCTTGAGCAAATCTTTCAGGTTAAGTTCCAAATCCCCCTGGACCAAAGGTTTCATAGTGTTGGACAGACACATATGGGAATTTATAAACATTATAGGAACCTTTGTAATTTGAACTCTATCTCCCAGGAGTTCCGGGAAGTGGAAACAGCCCAGTTATCTAACAACCCGCAACACCTGCTCAAGGTGCTACTGGGAAATGTAGTTCCTTTTTCCAGAATCGTTCCTGAGAGAGGAGAGTCTCGGAAGGAAAAAAAAAAAAGCAGAGAGGTTCAGGTAGGTAGGTAGGTAGGTGTGTAAGGGGGTGTGTGTGTGTGTAGAGGAGTAAGAGGTGATGCCGATTTTTCACTTAAAATCTGACTTGATTTCTCACACCTCAGCAGCAGGGACTTAGAATCTGCCCTCTCCGCCCTTCCCAGACCAATTTTTCACCACGTTAAAGCACCGGACTCCAAAAAAAAAAAAAAATGGCAAGCAAACGCCAAGCCGTGTCCATGGGCGGAGTATCCACCCAGGGGCCACGAAGTTCCGCGGGAATTGTAGCACCACTGCAAACACCTGGCTGGAGTGAAGGGCAGGACCACTCACGGGGCTCTCGGTCGCAGGGCTCTCCTCCTTGGACGTTCCCCGGTCCAGGGGCACGGTCAGAACAGCGCGGAGCAGCAGCAGCGGTGGCAGGAGGAGGAGGGCCGCGCGGGGCCCAAAGGGAGGCATGGCCGCGTGATCTGTGCGGGTGGAGAGGTGGATTATGTCAGTCCCCAGCCCCCTCCTTCCCGGGACCCAGGAGTCAGGCCCCCTGCACCACACACTCCCCTTCCTTCCAAGAGTCAAGAATCGAAGTGTCTTGTCTTCCGGGACCCAAAATTTCGAGCCTTCAGCCTTTCCTTCTGTAGACCCAGGTGTCCGGCCTCCCTGCACTCTCTTGGCTCGCTGACTCAGGAATCCGGGAACTCAAGTCCCTCTTTCTCCAGACCCACAGGTCCAAGCACCCAGCCCTCTTTTATCCTAGGTCTAGGAGAGCTGGTGCCCAGCTCGTCCTCTTCCAAACTCAGTTTTCCAGCCCTCTAGTGCTCCATCTCCCTTCCCTCCCAGGACCCAAGAGCCTAGGAGATCCCAGACCCTCACCTCTCCTTCACCACCGAGGGCGTCTTCCGTGGCTTGGACCTCAGCTGCGTTCTCCTCGATTTCCCGCCTAGGCCACGCCCACTTTCCAGCAGAAAACCCGCCCTCGGCAATCTGATTGGTCCACGCTAGTTCCCGGCTTCTTCGACCTTGCTTAGTGGCCCCACCCTTGTCGAAGTCTCTCGCCTTTTCTCGAAATACTTGCCTCCTATCTCGGAACCCCAAATTCTTGACGACACATTTCCTGCCTTTTAGGCGAAGGGTGGAACGGAGACTTTCAAAGAGAACTACAACTCCCTGCAAGCCGGCGGAAAATGTTTCAACTTCCGCTCTATCTTCGTCCCGTTGCCTCCTGGGAGTTGTAGTTTTCTAAGTTATTGTCTCCCTAAGAAGTGGCTGCAAGTTAGGGATCAATAGCAATCGACACAGGTCACCTTATAAGTTTCTAATATAAGAAAGTGACAGCTGCTCTGCGAGACCTCTCTGGGGTCCCTTTAAGGAACACTTGCATCCCCTTCCAATTCAGAATCCCTGGTGCATGGTAGCCTGGCTGCAGCAGAAGCCAGGGGTCATTGCTTTGTTAGAATTTGAGAGTGAGGGAACAGGAGGGAGGGGATCAGTACAGGTCCCAGAGAGAATTCCCCCTTCCTTGGAGCCCTGTTTCTTCTCCTGTTTATTTCCCTGAGACCAAGAGATTAGGTCCCTAGCTCCCAAAGAGTTGGTCAGGTATGTTCAGAAATTAGCCAGACAGGCAAGACATTGAGGCATAAGTGTGATAAGCCTGTGCAGGCACCAGGGGACAAAAGGAAGTCTCTGGGATTCCATATAGGTGGGTGCTGGTAGTCTGGGGTCACTGGGAGTTTGCAGCCCAGAGTTCTGAGTTCCCATGCCTGGGTGTAGGAGAGAGTTAGGTATTTGGGGGAGAGAGAACGAGACTCCTGGGGCCCTGATAGTGACAAAAGCTGGAATCAGGCTGCTGGGTGCCTGGACAGGAGTAGATACTGAAATCCAGGCTTCCTGTGTTCGGGAGAAAATGGAAAGCTTAAGATCAGGTGTTGGGGGGGGCAGGGGGGGGCAGGGGGGGGGCTGAGTCTATTGGATTCTTGGGTCTGGGTCCCTGACTCCTCATTCTTGCTTCTCTAGAATGGCTCAGGAGAATGACACATGGAAGAAAAAGTGAGTAGGGACACAGGATGGGAAGGGGTGGAGAGGTGGGAACAAGGGGGAACTCGGAGTTTGGTTATGGCCACAGGCCTCGTAATGATGTTTGCAGGTTCAGCACCACCAGCCTGGCAGAAAGGGCCTGGAGGCATGGACTTCTGAGTCCTATCTTAAGGGAGTGAGCTTAGGATGAAGACTTAATGGATCTGAAAGAGAAGGGTCTGAGGGTGTGGGCTCCTGAGTTCTGAAACAGGAGGGTCCTGGGATCTCTTTGACTCCCGAGTTCTAAACAGGCCAGTTATGGGAGAAGGAGCTGCAGAACTGAGGGGGCAGGCTCAGATTCTACCCGGCCTGTGACCTCACAAGTGCTCAGAATCCCAAATTGGGAGGGGAAGGAGGGGCTCTTGGGCTACCTGGCTGCCCTGCTTACTGTCACCATAAGCCTGCATCTCTCTCAGTGTCCTGTGGGATGAGCTCTCTGCCATAAGGCTGCAGAAACTGGAACAACAGGTACTCTGACTAGGAATCCTGACACCCCTTACTGTGCCCTTTGCCATAGTTCCCCAGGAGACCCATCCCCAGCACTTTGCCCTGGGGTCCCTGGCCCTCACTGGCTCTCCTGCAGCCTCAAGTTCTGCAACTGGGAAATAGGAAAATAGGAATTCAGGATCCTAGGGAAGCGACTCCTAGACTTCTAAGGAACAAGAGCTGTGGAGGGCAAGACTCCCAGGTCCTGGGGGAGGAAGAATCTGGACTCCAGATACTCTCCCGAGGGTGCAGACCTCCCCTTGCCTCGGGCCCATTTTCATCCCAGTCTTCCGCAGGATTCCTGCCCCACACACACCACTTTCCTACTCCCGCAGAGGCGGCTGTTTGAGAAGAAGCAGCGACGGAAGCGCCAAGAGCCTCTCATGGTCCAGGCCAATCCTGACGCTTCCCTCTGGTCCCGCCGACCGCGCCTGCGGTCCAAACGCCTCTCAAGTTACAGCGGTGAGGGGAAGTTTCTAGGGTCCGACAACGATCGTAGTCCCGAAAGGGAGGGGCTCTGTGGGAGTGAGGTGCGGGGCCCAAAGGGCTCAGAGGGGAGGAACCTGGTAGATCCCTGAAGCACCCAAGCAGAGTGTAGAGTCACAATCGCAACCTGTGGGAGTCCCAAGGCGAGCTCGGATGATGGGGCGGAGCCTGAGAGAGCGGCGGACCGCCCGAATAGTGTGGGCGGGGTCTACGGAGTCCTGGGGCGGGGCCTGGAACAACCAGTCCAGGGCTGCAATTGGCAAAGCGGGGAGACCTCTCTGGTTAGTGTAGAGACCAGGACTACAGAAGGAGAACCCGGCGGGGGTTGTTTACGCCAGGAGTCCGCAACAATTTATCTGAGGGCTGTCCCTGTTTGAGCCTTAGAATGAATTCTTGATTCTGAATGCGTCTTGGGGGGTTGGGAGATCACACGGAGTATGTCTGGGAGCCCAGGGAGGAGGTGGGTCGTCTCTGCAGAGGACTGATGGTGTACATCATGTTTATGGGCTTCTCCGCACTTTCTCTCAGGCCTCAGGAACCCATTCCTCCGGGAGAACGTGCCAGAGACACATCTGCATTCCGGCGCCCACAGTGCCCTGGGCACCGTGAGATGTTGTGGAGATGGCAGCGACGACCGCGTCCCCTTGACATCGCCGACTGAAGCAGGTAATCTCAAGCCCTTGGACCGCCTGTACCCTAAACTCCACTCCCACTAGAACCCAGGAATCTGGAACCTCAATCCTCGCTCTCCAAAACAACTGGGAGTCCAGGCCCCCTCGGGCCCTGAAGTCCGTCACACCGAGTCCAGGTCTTGAACTTTCTTCTTCTCCAAAACTCAGTAATCTGAATCTCCAGCCCTTTCCTGCCCCGGGACTCAGAAATCTCAGCCTCCAGTCCCCTTCCCTCTCCTGGCTCCCAGACAGCTCGGACCCGGAGTTGGAGGAAGTCTCCGTGGAGGACGTTCCCGCCTTTCCACCTCCTTTTAAAGAGCACCCGGGGACGACACGCAGGGGTTGGCTGCCCCTCCAGCAACTTGGTAATTTGGGGGACATCGTCAGGCCCTCTGGTCCCAGTGGCAAATCCTCCCCCTTTTTGTAATGGCTTGTTTTGAGATATATTTCACATACTATACAATTCACTCATTTAAAGCTTACAATTCCATGTTTTTTTAGTATGGAGATGTGCGTCCATCACCACAATCAATATTAGTACGTTTTCATCACCTGCAGAAGAAACCTCGTAGCTTCTTCTCGTCACTGCCACCTGCCCCCCATTTCTCCCAGCCCTAGGCAACCACGAATCTTTCTGTGTCTTTAGATTGGCCTATTCTGGACGTTTCATATAAATAGAATGATACTGTACGTGATCCTTTGTGACTGGCTTCCTTTGCTTGCCATGTTTTTGGGGTTCACCTCTTGCTGTATTATCGGTACTTCATTCCTTTTTATTCCTTAATATTTCATTGTAACGTCACGACCAACTATTTTACTATTTCAAGACAGGAATCTTAATTACCGTCCAAAACTCCACTCCCTCTCCACTTCCACTTTATTTTATTTATTTGTATTGATTTTAGAGAGGAAGGGAGAGAAACATTCATTTGTTCCACCTATTTATGCATTCATTGGTTAATTTTTTTTTTTTAGTTTGAGATTGCTCTTTTCTTATACTTTTTTTCCATTACCATTTACCCCTCTTTACTGTCTTCCACCTACCCCAACCCTGCAATCCCCACACTGTTTTCTGTGTTCATTGAGTCCTTCTTCTATCCCTCCACTCCCCATTGGTTGATTCTTATGCGTGTCCTCATCGGGGCTCGAACCTGCAACCTTGGCATAATATCAGAAGGATGCTCTAACTAACTGAACTACCCTCCAACCCCATTTTAGATCCTGTCTCTTCTATACTCTCTCTCCTTAGACCCAGGGCAGTCAGAGACTTGACCCATGTAGATCCATTAGCCAGCAACCTAGTAGTTCCGGGCTCCCCCAGCTACCACTGGTGATCTTGTCCCGAGCTCCTGGGACCCATGTGTCCTGAATTCAGTTTTCTTTGGGCTTCTTCCATCCTTTAGGACCCAATGCAGTGGACAAGAGCGAATCCCAGGATGTTGTACATGAATACGAATCACCTAGTCCAGAACCAAAGTCTGGAAGGGATGATGGTGTTCCGGAGAGTGGAGACTGGGACTCCAACAAGGTGGGAGGTGGCTCAGCCAACCCGAGATAGAGGAGGAGGCAGGGGACCAGCCTCCGCTCAGGGAAGGGTGGGACTAAAACGCTGCAGCCCAATCAGAGGCCCCGTTTACTGGGCTCGTGGAATCTGTTGTGATTGGGCTAGCAGAGGCTTTGCGTGTACGCGACTCAAAACGTAGAGGATTTGAATGAGTGTGAGCTCATTAAAATCCAGCCTACCTAAAGGCAGAGAGCTTTGGAGAGGGTGAAGCAGTGATATAGAAGGGCCAGTTGGCACTCACTTTGGTATTGATAAAAGTGAGATAAATAGTTTAAGTTGAGTAGATCCAGACTATATTATCTAGTTCGAATCAATGCGAGTTTTAGTTGAACGGAATGCAAAGGAATTCTCCAATCGGTAGGTGGACTGGGCGTGGCTGCAGAGAGAAGCTAATGGTGCCGGCCAATCAACAATGATTGAGGTTTGGCTGGGTGGGATCCTTTAAGGGACTGACCAATCAGCAAGTGGCTGAGATATTTGACCAATAATCAGGTCATCGTAGAGAGTGGGCGTAACCATGGGGGCTGGTACGGGTGGGGGGGGGCGGTATCGGTTGTCCGTCAACTTGCATTTGGCGCGTGGGCCAGGAAGAAGACCTGGAAGAAAAGCTGGAAGAAAAGGAAGAAGAGTCAGAGTCTGCACTGAGGAACTCGCCAGAGGTGGCCGACGAGGCAATGTCCGAGGCCCCGTTAGGCGATGGCGGCGCGAGGTTCAGCGATGTGGGGAGCTCGCCTCTCCTCGCCCCAGGCCCTCAGCTAGGCGAGGACATGGAAGCATATGTGCTGCGGCCAGCGGTGCGCGGCTGCATGGTGCAGTGTTGCATTAGCCGCGACAAGCGCGGCGTAGACAAGGGCATGTTCCCTTTCTACTATCTCTACCTGGAAGCGATCGGTGGCCATGGCCGGAAGGTGCGGTCTGGCAGCCTCGGGAGCAAGCCCCACTTCCCAGTGGCAAGTCCCGTCCCTTTCTGAGTGAGGTCAAAACTTTTGCGAATCCAGGCTTTGATCAGTGAGCCAGGACCTGTCAACTCCCACTCCAATTACAAAGCTTCAGAGGCCTAAGCTCCTTAGGTCCCAGTGGCAAAGGTCCTACCCATCCTATAGCCAAGACCTGCCCAATATTAAGATGGGCCCGCCTCCTCAAAGACAGGCCACACTTTCTCAGGGTCCAAACCCCCACTCGCTACATACCCTCCACACCCCATCTATGTAGGTAGGTCGAATTCTGGCCACTACACTGAGACCTTCCTTGCTATAAGCCCCACCCTAATCCTGGGATAAGCCCTGCCCCCTCAGGAACCAAGCCCCGCCCCCATAGATTTCCTTTGCAGACCCCAGTAATTCCTCTCGGTCTAGCCATCCTCTCCTCAAGGGACTCTCCCAACTAGAAAGGGGTCCACTTGTCCCAAAGTCCAGTTGCAATGTTCAAAATGAGGCTCCTCCCTCTTCTCCAAAGCTAGGCCCTGCCTGCTGGCCAGGTTCTCTCCTGCCTGGGCTCTGCCTGAACTCTGGACCCCACGGTGAAAGGACTGAAGGAGATTTATTAAAATGTGAATCTCCCCTTCAGGACCCAGCGATGACTTCCTTCAGTGAGAAGTGCATCTCCCAGCAAGCCTTGGGATGCTTGTTGCCTCATTACCCCTTCCTCTCTCTTAGGGACATACTGTTGTGTTGTCTCTTAGACCCCCTAGCCCTAGCCAGATATCAGAAATCGAATCTGATGGGCTGTTCTCACACCCACAGCACTTCCTTCTCGCTGGGCGCAAGAGAAAAAGGAGCACAACCTCTAATTACCTCATCTCCCTGGACCCCACAGACCTGTCTCGGGATGGGGACAACTTTGTGGGCAAAGTCAGGTAGGCAGAGCCCTGATACGTGTGAGAAATGGGTGGGAGATGATGGGGCACCTAGAGGGAAGAAAGGGACAACTGAACTGCATTGCCCAGCAGGCCAGAGAGCACAAGTTCCATCTGCTCCAGGATTTTTTCTCTTAGGACTGATGGGCTCTGTGATTCTTCAGGTTGGAGCCCTATGATAGTAGGAAATAGAACGGAAGGTTTTGGAGCAGAAGCTGGCATTTAAGGCATTGGACTTTCTGAGAGGCGCAGGGCACCCTGGCCAAGTGGCTCAGTTGGTTGGAGCATCTTCCTGTATAGCAAAAGGTTGCAGGTTCAATCCCCAGTCAGGAGTGCATAGGGGAGGCAACTGATTGATGTTGCTCACGTTGATGTTTCTCTCTCTGAAACATCAATTAAAAAATAAAAAGGCAAGGGGCTAGGATTCCTAAGTTCCCGGGTACAGAAGAGCCGGGAGCTAGGAGTTCTTGCATCCTAGAGGGAAGAGTGCTCTTAAAGGCCCAAGACATGAAACTAAAAATCATGGCTCACGGGGCTGGGACTGTGGATACACAGAACACGCAAATGAGTCTTGTGTAGAGGATTGATGGGAAGAGTTGTTAAGATGACATGGGAGGGCCCTGGCTGGTGTCGCTCAGTGGATTGAGCTCGGGCCTGCGAACCAGACAATCGCGGTTCGATTCCCAGTCAGGGCACATGCCTGGGTTGCAGGCCAGTTCCCAGCAGGGGATGCGCAAAGGGCAATCATACATTGATGTTTCTCTCCCTTTCTCCTTCCCTTCCCCTCTAAAGATAAATAAATTAATATTAAAAAAGTTTTATTAAAAAAAAAGATGACATGGGAAAGCAGTTCACATACCACATAACCGTAACGATTATTTTATTCTGGCCATGGCCTTCCTGGAGCAGATCTAATGTCTTGGGCACCAAGTTCACCATCTTCGACAATGGGGTGAATCCTGAAAGGAAGTATTTCATCCCAGAGACTGCCCGGATCAGGGAGGAGCTAGGCGTTGTGTGTTACGTGAGTTGTCCGGGAGGCTAGAGAGTGAGTGGAGCTGAATGGTGGGGAGGGACAAAGAGCCTGGCCAACGGGAGCGTAATACCCGCAGGAGACCAACGTCTTGGGGTTCCGAGGGCCCCGGAAAATGACTGTGATCATTCCAGCAATTGATGCCCAGAACGAGAGAATCAGTGTCCAGCCGCAAAATGTGAGTCGGCTAAGGAAGAGAATCTCTGGGTCCATAGAGTGGGGAGGGCTGGGGGACAGGCTCTAGGTCCTAAGGGAGGAGGGGACCGGGAGGATGGCCAGACATATGTGTCTCAAGGAGGAGAGACCAGGAACCCAAACTGCTGGGTCCGGAGAAAAAGGGCTGTCAGTGGTAGCTTAACCACGCCCCCTACTTTATCGATCCTCTAGGAAGGGGAGTCGCTACTGAGTCGCTACCAACGCGGGGCCAATCAGGGGTTGGTCCTGCTGCAAAACAAAGCTCCGTCGTGGAGTGAAGAGACCGGCAACTACGTGCTCAATTTTCATGGCCGAGTCACTCAGGCCTCGGTCAAGAACTTCCAGATCATGCATCCAGATGATCGTGAGCTCCTAGGAACCGCTTTACCTGGGCAGGGCGGGCAGGGTGGTGGGGGGCTTGAATGCACGAGAACTGTGCACTTGAGCGTTTTTTCTCAGCCGGACCCAATCCACGCTGTTGCAAAGCCTCTTGGGAACTGTAGTTTACACAGCTCTCAGAGGGTTTTGGCTCTGAGAACTCAGAGGGTTTCGGTAAGGACATCGCACAGGCTCTTGGGAGTCTTAGTTTTCGCAGGTCAGACGCAGCGGCAGGGAGGAGACTAAGCTTAGTTCCCGACTTCCTCCTCAGCTGACTACTTGGTGCTTCAGTTCGGCCGCGTGGCCCCAGACATGTTCACCATGGACTTCTGCTTCCCGCTCTGCCCACTCCAAGCCTTCGCCATCTGCTTGTCCAGTTTCGATGGGAAGCTGGCGTGTGAATAATCCACGGAAATATAATACCTTTTAACAGCTCCTGCGCCTGCTCATTTGGAGAAAAGGCTCCCGCGGGCCTTCTTTTGCACCACCTTACTAATAACCAACACTTATAAGACGCCTCCTGGGTACCCGGTCCTGGGTTCTAGGGAGTGGGCTCTTCAGGAGCACCTGCTCTGGTGGGACTCAGTGGATTATGGGAAATGGGTCTTAAGCAACAAAAAATCAAAATGTTCCACTGCCGGGAAGGAGAAATCCACGTGGAGGTAACGAGCCAGCTGGGTCAGAGGAAGGGATCCCTAAAAAGATCCTTCAGGTGTTTTCATGCTACACCTGAGGGATCACAAGGAAGTAGCTGAGCTAGGGGTCAGCAAATGGGAGCATCAGACAGTAGGCAGAGCTCATGGGAAGGTCTTGAGGTGGAAGGGGCTTGGTTGGTTTAAGAAAATAAAAGCAAAAAAAAACAGACACTGAAATAGAGAACAAGGGGACAGTGACCAGAGGGGAGAAGGAAGGGAAGTTAAGGGGAGAAAGGGGGAGGGATTTGGAGGAATAAATAGGAAGGACACAAGGACGAGAACTAAGGGGGGTGGAAATGGGAGGGAGGTGGGGAGCAAGGGGCGGGGGAGGCTGGGATGGGAAAAATAGACAAAAAACTGTACTTGAAAAATAACTAAATAAAAGTAATTTAAATAAATAAAAGAAAATGAAAGCATAGTGTGGTAGGAGCCTGAGGAACAATCATTCAGTGGAGGTGGGGCAGGATATGAAGCTAGACAGGGGGTCCTCTTGTTTGAACTGCTGGACAGACCTTATGGTGTCAGAGGAAAGTTCTAAGCTGGAGACATAAGGTACATGCAACTGTTAGCCACACTTTACAGATAAGGAAGCTGGGTCAGTGAAGACAAGGCTCGTAAATGCGAAATTAGGCAGCTGAAAACTTTGAGGACCTCATCATGTGAGGCCAGGTGGATGAGCCTTTATATTTCAGGAAGATGGAGGAAACTGGTGTTTAGCCCCTTTTTAGAGATTACAAGTCCAGCTCCCAGGCCTCTTGGGAAGATAATTGTCCCAAACTTAATATGCACGTGGAAGCCAAAGAAAAACTACAAAACCCAGCCCTTTGTTCAGAAGCCTCAGAACTAGGAGACCAATTGGAGGGATGATGGGAAATGTAGTTCATTTCTCCTAAAGTAGTAGCCTCTTTGCTGTTCCCAACTGCCTCTAGGACCCAGGAATAGCAGATACTGTCAGTTTAGACACACACGGTGACATTGTTCAGTACAAATCCAAAGGCTTTATTTCTTAAATCAGCTGATAAAAACAAATAAATAGTGAATAACACAAACATCACCCTAGCCACGCCTCCAGCTGAGGTCTAGGCAAGGAGGCAGAGCCACATAAATAGGGAAGGGAAAAATCACAGTATGGCTCAAGGGCGTGGCCTGCACACAAGATGTGGGCAAGGCCTGGGTCGTGGCAGGTGTGGCAACCAGAGGAGGGGAAGGGTTCCTGAGACGTGCCCAGGCCTTGGCCCGGGCTGCAGGGGTGAAGCAGGGGCCCAGCACTTCCTCAGCTTGTGCAATTCGGCGAGCAAAGCGGCTGCGATCCCGGGCAAACTGCTCCCAGGGGCCATGCCGGGCAGCCTGGGCGGGTCCAGCCCAGACAACCAGGAAGTGGACGGAGACTTTCTCGGAGAAGCGCACCTGGAATCAGATCGGCACAGACGCAAGACACGTGGGCACAGGTGGGAAGGAAGGGGAAGAGAGAGAACCAAACAAAAATTAGACAAAAATGCTTGCTATGTGATTAGTCACCTGCCTGTCACTGGATTCTCCATCTGACTCACTGGGGCTGACAAGAGCCACTGCTGCTTCCTCTTCCTCCCAAGGGGGCCCAGCCTCTTGCAAAGGATTGCATTATAATGAACACAGCCCTCCCCGTGGAGTTCACGTGCAACCCTGTGCAACACACCAGGGACCCAGGAGTCCTCGCTGCCTCCTCCCTAACACTCAAGAACCTGAGCCCTCAGCACCCACCTTGGTGGTCTTTTGGGGAGTCTCAGGGTCTAGATGCCGGGTGGGGGTTTCTGCAGACTTGAGCCGCCTTTGCAGTCGGGCAGGCAACCGAGGAAGAGCCCAGGGAGGTGGTGGCTTCTCTCCAGGTAAATAGATGGCCACTCGGAAGGGGTGAGGCTCAGCTTCTCCTCCCTCTGTCTCCTTTCCAGGTGCAGATCTCCAGCCCCTGAAGAAGGAACTCTGGGCCTGAATGGAAGAACCTGGCTCTGAGCCAGCTGCTTCTTCTAAACCATCTTTCTCATTCACCTCATCATCATCTTCTGAGTCCTCCCCTGGTCTGTACACCCAAGACCTCAAGAAGGCACTTGCAGAAGATATGGAAGAGGGACCCTCAGCTTCTCCCTCCTCCTCAGCTGCTCCTGAATCGCTGTCCTCCTCTTCTTCCTCCTCATCCTCTGTGTCCTCTCCTGGTCTGTACACCCAGGCCCTCAAGAAGGTGCTTGTTGGGGGGATGGAGGAGGGACCCTCAGCTTCTCCCTCATCCTCAGCTGCTCTTGAATCCATGTCTTCCTCTTCTTCCTCCTCCTCATCCTCTGTGTCCTCTCCTGGTCTGTACACCCAGGCCCTCAAGAAGGTGCTTGTTGGGGGGATGGAAGAGGGACCCTCAGCTTCTTCCTCCTCCTCAGCTGCTCCTGAATCACTGTCTTCCTCTTCTTCCTCCTCATCCTCTGTGTCCTCTCCTGGTCTGTACACCCAGGCCCTCAAGAAGGTGCTTGTTGGGGGGATGGAAGAGGGACCCTCAGCTTCTTCCTCCTCCTCAGCTGCTCCTGAATCACTGTCTTCCTCTTCTTCCTCCTCCTCATCCTCTGTGTCCTCTCCTGGTCTGTACACCCAGGCCCTCAAGAAGGTGCTTGTTGGGGGGATGGAGGAGGGACCCTTAGCTTCTCCCTCCTCCTCAGACTCCTCTCCTGAACAACACTGCCAGGCGATGGGGTGAGAGCCTGCAAATGAAGAGGAAGTGGAGGTCTTCCTGGCTTCTTTATTCTCTGTTCTTCCTTCCTCCTTGGCTGGAGCCTCTGCCTCCCCTGCACAATACACCCAAGCTCTGGGCTTGGGTCCCAGAGATAAGGGGGAAGTAGATGCGCTGGGAGTTTCTTTACTTACACCTTCTCCATCCCCCTCCTCCTCCATCTCTGGGCAACTCCCCCAGTGTGATGGAGGGAAAGAGAACATGATGGCTTTATCTTCAGCAACTCCTCCGTCTTCAGATTCCTCTTCCCCAGGAGGGTCTCGAAGGGTTTTCAAGAGGCTGGGGGACGAGGGAGCAGGCTGGCCATCTACGTATTCACTTTCCTGTTCTGTGGGGCCACTGGCTGCTTCTTCCCCACCATACTCTTCATCACAGTCATCTGGAAGTTCCCAGGCTTGAAGAAGGGAACTGTTAGCTTTTAAGGCAGGGCAGGCCATCCAGGATGATTCTCCTCCACTCTCCACGGCGTCTCCACTGCCTTCGGCCACCCCTGATGGGTGCCCGCCCCCAGGGGCATAGCAAGTGGCCAAAGCAGCCTCAGCTTCTCCCTGCAGGCCAGCCGCTCCCTGATCTGCATCCCGTACTGCTTCCACCAGCCAGGGCTTTAGATGTCCTGAGCCCCTCAGCCGGCTCCAGGCCCGGCTGAGAAGGGTCATCAGCGGAGACAGGAGGAAGAAGGGGTGGGCATCCCTCCAGGGGAGCTGATGCGGCACTTGGCGTGGGGCCATCTGTCCGGGCTGGGGGGAAGGGGACAAGATTTGGAAGCCATTTAGGAAACAGCACCAGGGGGTGACCCTGAGTCATACAACGGAAAATACCGACACAAATAGCAACGAGAGAGTCCCCGCCCACATTCCTTTCCAATTCCAGCCCCTCCCATCTCTGGCCCTTGGTTTCCACCTGTTTCTTCTTTCAATAGCTAGAAGCCTGGGTCCCCATTCTCTCCTTCCTCAGATCCAAGAGTCCGAGCCCCCAGCCCCTCTTCCCTCAGACCCGGAAGTCCCAGTTCCAAGCGGCGAGAGCACTTGCTCCTCTTCGGGATCAAGTCCTTGTCCCTGGTTTTCTCATTTTCCTGCTGTCTGACAAATCAGGCTCCCTCCAGACCCCAAAATCCCGACCGCCCCGCAACCCCCCAAGATTCCCCCTGGGGACCCGAGCCTGGCTCCTAGACTCCTCCTCCATCAGACTCAGCACTCCAAGCCTCCAATCCCTCTCTTAAGTCGGAGGCCTGGAGTCTGCCCCCATCCCGTCCCGCCGCTCCCCAGACACAGGAAAAATTTCAGGCTCCCAGGCCCTCTTCCTGAGGACCCAGGAGTCCCGATCCCAAACCTTCCAGTCTCGTTTCCCAGAAGTCCAAGCTTCCGTATTATTAACGACCAAAGGTCTGACACCTAGCAGACCAGAGCCTTCCGATCCCTCACTCACCGGAGCGAGGCCGCGCGTCACCCCGGAGGCAGTAGGGCCGGCTCAGGCTGCCACAAGCGATTGCGGGTCCGGACAGCTCTGGAGGTCAGCGCTTTCATTTCACCCTCCGGCGACGGGCTCAGGTGCTCAGGTTATCACCAGTCGCTGCAGACGTTGTCGCGACACGGGGACGCAGGGTCGTACAAAATGGCGCATGAAAAAATCAACTGGGCTGGAGACAGATCAGATGTCGCTAACGCCGCCCGCGAGGTTTTTATAGTCTAACACGACCGGACGTGCTTACGTATCGAGGAGAGGCGGAGTTTCGAAACGAAGACTAGAAAACAGGAAGGGAAAACGAGGGTTGGAATTCTCGCGGCTATTCCAGGGTTTGTAACGTCACGGCGGCGATTGGATGGTGGCCACGCCCCGAAAGAAGCGAGCTGTCAGTCAAACGCGTGACCTGTTCGAGCAGTCGGGGAGCACTCTCAACACGTTTCTGGGAAATACCTTTCCCCTCAGTTTAACTAGCAGGTCCCAGTCTAGAGTCTACCACCTTCAGGTCCGCTGGGCTTCCTCCTCGGCCTGGGAGAATATTATTATTGTTTTTATTTCACGAACGAGGAAACTGAGGCTTGGGAATGAAACCGCATGCCCGTGATGGTCACAGCAGAGTGTAGATTCATTGCCGATGAAAACAAGAATGTAATAAGCACTCTAAATGCAGGCCCTTTGCTTTGCTCACTGCTTTCTTCTCAGCGCCTGGCGCATGATAGGTACTTACCCAATATTTGGTGAGTAGATACGGAACTAAAAGCTGAGACCCCTTCCGGTTTCATGCACAAGGCTCTATGGCTGGATTTCACCCACTTCAGAATCCCCCAAGAGCTCCGACTACACCAGCTGAAATTCCGGTTAGGTGGTGTCAACCGAACCTCGTGGGAGTGGGCGTCTCCTGCCAGAAGTTCCAGGGCCAGGGAGAGAGTCGCAATTCCCCAGCCCAATCTCCCCCACCTGATCCATGATTTTACTCCTCAAAATATGCCCAGGAACCATGTCGCCCTCCTGAGGGGTCAGCGTCAGTTTAGAGCAGAATTCTCCCCTGGACCTGAGCTGGAAATCTGACCCTGTCTGCTTGTCCCTGCTCTAGTCACACTCCAGGAATCCAGGGCCACTCCCTCCTCACCAGAGGACCTGGACCCATCCATACAGAGTCATGCTTCCAGACGCCCGGCTCCATTCCCGGCTCAGGAGTCCGGGGTCCTAGCTAGCCCCTTCACAGATACCCAGGGGTCTGAAAGCCCACCCCTTCCAAGATGCAAGATGTCTTCATTCAGGGCACCAAGGACTCTGGCTCCTGCCCCGACCACCCCGCGGGAACCCTGGAGTCCAGCCCCAGCTCCTATTCTCCAAATGTGCAGAACTGTTAGCCTCAGCCCTTATGGGACCCCGGTTCTCCAGGCCCTAGACCAGCAGGACCCAGGAATCAGGGGGGCCCGGGCTCCTCCCCTCAACTGCAGGGGCAGCTGAGCCAGGGGTCAGGCTGTGGTGGGGAGGCCAAGAGGGGCGGGGTCAGCCGGGATTGGGAGGGGAGACAGCAGCGTGGGCGGCTGGCAGAGGGAGGGAAAGACCAGCAGAGAGAAAGAAACTGGGAGAGGGGAGAAGAGAAAGTGAGGAGAAGAATCGGGAGAGGAGGAAGCAGAAGTGGACGGCCATAGGAACAGAGAAAGAGGAATGGATTGAGTGTGAGGGAGAGAACGAGGTAGAGACGTAAGGAGGAGACTCTGGGAGCCTGGGAGAGAAGGATTTGGACAGAAACAGAAAGACTGGGAGAGAAAGTGATAGGGGTGTGTGAGAGAGACAGGGAGGGAGGGAGGGAGGGAGGAAATGAGGGAGGGAGAGACTCAGAGAGACAGAGATTAGCCAGGGAGAGAGACAGAAGCCGTGACTGGAGTCAGAAAGAAAGGGAGAGTGTGAGAGCGAGAGGGACCACCAGAGACAGACAGAAACGGTGTGACTGAGCAGCTAAGTGAGACCAAGGCCTGTGAGAGGCCACACCTGACAGGCAGAGGAGGGAGGCTGTGCTGGGTGCCCCTGCACGCATCCCGCCCTCCTGCCCCCTGTCCTTGGGACCCCGGAGCCGGTAAGTTCCCTGGTGGGCTAGGAGGGACAGCCTGGGTGTGCATTCCTGGCGCCCCAGGGCTTGGCAGGCATGGTTTAGGGTGCAGGTGGGAGGGCGGGAGACAAGTAGCTGGGGGCAGCCGGAAGGGGGCAGGGAATGGGGGTCCCTAAGCACAGAGAGGGTCAAATTCCTGGCCCAAGTGCAGGGGGCAAGAATAAAGGAGCCCCTATTCTGTGTCTTGGGCGTCAGACAACCGCCCCTTCCCCGTAGCTGCCAGTGACGCCCACCTCTCTTGGCATCGCTCTTGGTATGCATTCCCCCGGCCAGGGCCTCCCCCAGCCCCCCAGGCCCCGAACAACAGGCTCTTTCTCCTCGGCCTCCTCCGACCTGCGAGACCCTGACCTCGTCTCTGTCCCCAGCTGGGTCAGCTACAGAGACACACACACAGTCCCTTTCTTTCTCTCCCCAAGCCCTTGATGGAGGAGGGCAGGCCTCGGAGCAGCCTCAGCCTGGCCAGCAGCGCCTCAACCATCTCCTCCCTCAGCAGCTTAAGCACGAAGGTTGGAGCTTCTTTCTGGGGCTGGGAAGGAGGGGAGGGCTCCGGGTGCCCCATCCTTCTGTCTCCTAGCCCTGGGCTTGGCGCTACCTCAGGGACTCTGGTTGTGGCTCAGTGACTTGGGCGTTGTCTCGGGAATCCAACCAGCGAACTTTCAGAAGGTCGCTGATTTGATTCCCAGTCAAGGCACATGCCTTGGTTGCAGGCTTGGTCCCCGGTTGGGGGCGTGTTCAAGAGGTGATGATCGCTGTTTCTCTCTCATAGGGATGTTTCTCTCCCCCTCTCCCTCCCTCCCTTCCCCTCGCTCAAAAAGTAAATAAATGAAATCTCTGAAAAAACCCATAAGTGAGGAGCAAGGATCCTCGGCCATGGTGTCGGCCAGACTTCGTTAAGTTCTGAATTGCCCTCTAGTTGCAGCTAGGAATTCCGAGACAGAGGCAATTCCAGCTGTCCCCACCCCTGGTGTTTTCCTGATTCAAAGCCTGGGTAACAACCCGGTGACTCTGGTTGCTAAGATAAGGCCACTCCCCAGCCCGGAGCACTGCCCCACCCCCAGAAACTCGGATGGGGAAGCTGCTCTTAGTCGGGGATGAGAATTTCCTGTCCTGTATCTAACCGCCCCACCCACCCGGTTCCGAAATTTGACAAGGGAAGACCGTTTTCTGACAATGAGGCCCCCTGAGGCCCAAGGTACTTGCACTCCAAGAGGTCACCCCAGCCCCTGAGTGCAGTGACACTTGTTTCTCATCCCCCTGCCATTCCCCCTGCTCATTTCCGGTTTCCCAAGGTCAGAACCTTGAAGGTGACCTCGGCCAGCACCCTCCCCAAGGGCACCCTCTGGGACTGTGGCTGCGGATGCCTGAGATGCCTGTGTGCCCTGGGGGGAGGGGGCTCTGTCTGTTGGGACAGAGAGATTCAGAGCCCCCTCTACTCAGAACATGGTTGCGAAGGGATGTCTCTCTCCAGCATCCAAGTGTCCTTTGATTCTGGCTGACCCGTCACCAGGCACTCAGCACGGAGGCCCCTCCTGATTATGGGGACCTCCCAGGCAGTATATCCAGTCCGCATCCCACAGGCCGTCCCACATCTGTGGCCAAGGGCACCCTCTCCTTGGCTGTGGACCCCTGATTCCAAAATTCCTTCCCCATCAAGCCCGTAGCCTCTTCCTTGCTTCCGAACCCCTCTCTCCACACGTGAAAAGTGTCTCTCAACTCTGCAGTTATGCGCACCCCATTCTGATCTCAAAACTCAGTTCCCTCCTCCACCTGGTTTCTGTGGGCAGCCAAGCGAGGGGGGGGGCGGCGCCTGCGTCCCACGGCCCTGGCTCCTCAGGCCCAGCCGGAGGCCCTGCTCACTTCTGTCCCTCTCTCCTCAGAAGCCAGCCCGGGCAGTGAGCAAGGTGCACGCCTTCGGGAAGAGAGGCAATGCGCTCAGAAGGGACCCCAACCTCCCGGTGCACATCAGAGGCTGGCTGCATAAGCAGGTGGTGTGAGTGGGAGACGGGACGGACATGCCGGCTGATGCTAGAGGCTGTGCCCCTGGCTGTGCGCCTCTTCTCTCCTTCCCAGTCAGCAAATTTATTTCTTTGTGATCACATCTTCTCCCCTTATTCTGTCCTTGTTTCATCCATCCATCCATTCATTCATTCAGTGACCACTTCTTGGACATTACAATGTGCCGAGTTCTGGGTCACACACCATGCAAATAGGACAAGTATCTGTA